CTAAAAAAAGTTAGAAACAATAAGTTAGCACTCTTATCAAACTATCAAAGATATGAATCTTGAAGAAAGAAATCCTCAATATACTCTTGTATCACTGAAAATAATTAAAACGCCACTCAAAGATGATATAATATTGAATTAGAATAGCTATTACTAAAAATATAAAAAATAACTAGAAAGTCTTGAAACAAGAATAAAGATTAGAAAGATGTTGGCAAAAATGGAAAAAACTTCACTTTTGCTTCTATATATATCCTTAACTATGAACTATGTGACAATATTTTATAACACCTCCAAAACATGTTGACTTTGCAAGACACATATCTTAACCTACCTTGACAAGTTTTCTATATGTGCACCACATAATTAGCTTATTTCACAATCTATTAACATGTGATTAACTTATTAATCAAGTTTCTAACCTATCAATAAACTATAAATATATGTAAAGTCAAAATAGCATCTATAAAGATTTTTAAAAGATTTTTTAAAAGATATTATATAATTTATCTATTTTTATCTATTTTTATTTAATCATATAGGTATTTACTAGAATATGCATGTATATTCATTACAATGGCACATTTTGTACCATGTACAAAATTTATCAAAGGTAAAGAAATAGCTAAGTTTTTCTTTGGCAACATCTATTGCTATCATATATTTTCTAAAGATATTATATTAGATAGAAGAACTCAGTTTGTATCAAGATTTTAGAAAATACTTTTCAAGATTTTGAAGGTTTACCTAAAACTATCTTTGGCTTTCTATCCTCAAACTAATAGACAAATAGAGTATATAAATTAAGTTTTGAAATAGTATTTGAGATATACCATCAATTATCAACAAGATGATTGAACAACTCTTTTGTCATTAGCAGAGTTTGCTTATAATAACATGATATATTCTTCTATAAAATAAATATATTTTTTATTAATTTTGGTTATCATCCATAATTTGATGCTTTTAAATTTTGAAAAGTTGATAATCATATGACAAAAGATTTGGCAAATCATTTATTTGAGCTACATTCAATAATAAAAGTACAACTAAAACAAGTTCAAGAACAACAAAAGAACAATACAAATGCCTATCACAAGCAACAACTTCATTTTCACGTTAGTAATAAAGTATGATTACTTTATTATAATATTAAAATTATTTGCCTTTGTGGCAAGTTAGATTACTATAAACTTAGACCATTTTCTATTTGTGAACAAGTCAATCCAATCACTTATCAATTACTTCTATCAAAATTTATGAAAATCCATCTTGTATTTCACATATTTCTTTTGGAGCCATATGAAACAATAAATATCTCAAGAAGAAGATAAATACCACTATCTTCTATAGAAGAGGATAATAATAAAGAATTTGAAATAGAAAAAGGCTTAGACTCAAGGCAAAACTAACTTAGGTAAAAATAACTTATTCATTGATATGAATATGATATTAATAAATATGCATATGAGCTAGCAAAAAATCTTATAAATGCAGCAGAGAAGGTCAAAGCTTTTCATCAACAACATCCATCAAAACCAAAATAAAAAAATAGCAAACCTTTGCTATAAAAGAAATATAATGTAGGAAAGATTGCATTAAACTTTTTATCGTCATTTGTAGCTTTTGTATGATTGTGGTCTTAAAGAGATGGAAAACCTATAGCCAGCATATTCAACTCAAGAACCATCATTTGTTAACTTAATAGATGAGACATTATGATTATCACAGCCTTTAAGATGATATAATAGATATAAAGACCTTCAAGAGCAATACGTTCTTCCTTGAATAAATGGAAAGATACAATGTATTTGGTATTATGACCTAAAAAGAAAGGCTTGATGTTTGGTGATTTTATTGGAGATGGAAACAACTCTTGATGGTTTTATAAATGTTTTGTTTGAAGGAAGTTACAAAGGTTACAACAATGATTAAATAACAAGGTGGTCTTTTCATCCTAGAATGAGACATTACCAATGGTTAAGAGAGCCTATCAACTACCTTCAAAGGAAAGAAACATTAAAATATGTAGAAAATATAATTTGCCACATCTTAGACTTCTTTGACATGTGATTACCGTTCCTTGTAGAATTTTTTCCTAAAAGAAGTGGTAATATCATGAACATATATTTATTATAATTTTTATCTAAATAATATGAATAGATAAAATAAGTAAAAATAAATTAATTTCATAACATAAAAAGTAGAGGTAAGAGTGAAGTCTTCTTCATTCTTGTCAATTTCTTCATTGCTTTTAGTCTAATTTCAAGAGTCTCTATTTTTCTTATCTTTTAGAAATATTTATTTCAGTTTTTTTTAATATACATATTTTCTTATTTTTATTCTATCATATTTCTTTGAAAAAAATTCACTTATTTATTTACCTTTATTGAGTTTTTTTCTTAATACCATCCTCTAATTTGACTTGAATATTAATCAAATTTATCTATTATAAATATAGAAGAAAAAATAATGGATACTACACTTGAAAAAATGAAAATAGATTTGCAATTATTATAGATCTTCATAAACTTGTGAAAACTCTTTAAGTAAAAATTTTATGTATTATTAATGTCAACCATATATATATCATGTCAATGCTTATAAAAAAAGTCAACAATAAGGTCCAATATTTATGACAAAAAGTTACATAGTTAAAAAAAGTAAATACATCAATCTTATAATTAAATTCAAAAAACTTTTGTGCATGTAGAGGTCATAAATGGTTGTTTGTAACTTCTTAAGATGTTATCCATGATACTAATTTTTTAGATATATAAACTAATGGATATAATAGCTTAATAATATTTAATTTTATTAGATCTCTCTCTAACCTAGTTATTTTAGATTAGTTATGATTAAAAAATATAATCCTCAAAATAACTAGATTTCTTATAATTTTAGTTATTTCTATACCATAATTATTATGGACATACATATTTATTCTAATAATTATCTAAATAATATGAGTAGGTAGAAATAGATAAAAATAGGTAAATTTAGTAATATCTTATGAAAAAGCTTTTCAAAAGCTTTATAGATATAATATTGTCTTTATATGTGTATATAAGTAATTAATAGGCTGAAAACTTGACCAACAAATTAGACATGTGGCACATATATGAAGCTTATAAGTTAGACATGTGTCTTACAAGTTAGACATGTATTTTACAAGTTCAACATGTGTTGGATATCCTATAAAATATTGTTATATAACTCCTAGTAAGATAGTATATGTAGAAGCAAGAGTGAGGCTTTTGTCACTCTTGTCAATTCTTTTCTTACTTTTAGTGTAGTTTCAAGAGTCTCTAGTTTCTCTAGTCTTTGGCAATAGCCATTCTAATTTCTTCTTGAATATTCTTACTTTCTCATTTTTATTTTGTCATTTCTCTTTAATACACATCTTAATTGTTTATATATCTTCTTTAAGTTCTTGTCCATAAAAATAATCCAAATTTTTGTTATAAAAATAGAAAGTCATAAGTCTAAACCTTGATTGGTAGGTGCAAGAGCCTTCATGCATTAAGCAAAATAAAGGTCGTATGCATATCCAATGCACAACATTCAACTAACAACAAAGGTCAAACATTGACATATGAATTATTTTATAAATGTATTTATATTTTATTAAAAAAAACTATTCATACTTTTAAAGTCTTGAATATCTTGTGTTAAGATTAATATTATCTTTTTTCATTTTTTTTACAGCATTGATTTTAAAATTTTAATATCAAACATAAATATACTACTTAAATATATTGATTATGTATAAAAAAAAATTATAAATATATAATTTTGGAATTTGATTTTTTATATAAATTTATATTTTTTTATTACTACTGTTATTATAAATGATGCTTAAAAGTAAATTTAAAATAATAATTTAATAATTTTGAGATTAAATTTTATTTTTAAAAAAATTCATAATACAATATATATATATATATATATACATTCTTAATGTATGTATTAAAAAGGATAAATATTGTAGATATACATTTATGTTAGTAAGTCTTATAAATATTATTGTTTTTTGTGCATGTGAATGTTTACACATATACTATGAGAAGCAATTAAATAAATTTTTTATTATTTAAATTAGAAAAAATTGTAGTCATATAAGTTATTATTTTTTTGGAATTTATATATATATATATATATATATATATATATTAATATTAATATAATGAGATTAATATACTCATTTTACTTAATTTTATTTTAAAGATTAATATATTTATTATAATTAAATTATAATCTAGTTTTATTACTTTCTTTTTATAACAATAATAAGATGTAGGCAGTTTCATTTATATTTTCATTTTTATGATCATAATTTTTTTTTCTTCTAATCACGTGTATTTTCTGTAAATTATAAATCAGTTTTACATGTGTGTCTGTTTTCATTTTATTATTTTAATAAACATTTATGTGATAATTATACAATATATTTGTATGATTATTAGTTACATTTTTTTTTCATTTTGATATACTATTATATTGTGCAAAAATAGATATCAAAAGATTGCCCTAATATATTACTTCCAAAGCATAGTCCCAATCCGGGTACATGCAGAGACGTTGGAATAGGCCTCCATGAAACGACGGAATCTGTTCCACCGCAGAATTGTAACTTACGTCCAAGTCGACGAACGCGCCCCCGTCCCAGTTACGGATCACGACCCAGCGTTCGTCATCGTTCGTCCATTCAGGAACGAAGTCAAAACCCGTCCGTCGGTGTCATTCAATCGAAGTGAAGCAGGTGTGGGGTAGGGCGATGCGATGCGCTGCACTGCGTGCCATCGCTCATCACTAGGAATCCGAGGATGGGCAGTGCCGGAGGATCGCATCGCATTGCAGGTGTAGGACATCCACTCCCACCGCGTGTGCCTGATTCTTCTCGCAGCACTTGAGATCGAGCACAGGAATAATGGGGTGGCGATCAGTCAAGACTCAAGGCGAAGGAGGAGGAGGATATGAAGGAGAGGGAGGTATAGTCGCACTCCTGCGAGAAATTCTTCTGCGCAGGGATGAGGATGCCCTTGGAACTATAACGAAGTCGAGGAGTATCACGCTCATGACGTGGCAGGGTCATGTGTGTATTTATATGTATTTATAAATATAATTTATTGTCTGGTTTCTTTTCGTTTTTTGTGGAGAAGTGACGATATCTCAGGTCTTTGAAACCAAATCAACCCCACCCAACAGCACGGCTTCCGCTGTGTAGATGCTCTTTGTTAACCTCAAGGCCTCCACTAAAAACTTTTTTACACCTGAAGCGGAATCGCAGCCCATCCAGAGCCATTTGTGGAAGGAGCAGAGGGGCGATTTTCTCGACGTTCCCTGCTGCAAACATCAACACTGCTTCGGAGTCGCTGACCCCCCTTGTGTTTCTCAACGTCATTTTAGGGTTTCGTTTGGATTGAATCTGTGAGACCATAGCTCTTCTGCCACGTTTGTCAGGGGTGAGAATATCATCAGAGAGTAGAGTTGACGTTTTGAAGGTGTGAGTTGAAGGAATTTGAGGAACAGCAGATTTGGGTCTAGCTTATTTGAGAGCGAGGGCAATGGAAGGAGGGGTTTTTCGTCGCACAGGTTTGGGAATGTGGAATTGAGGGACACGGGTGGAAGAGAGGAGCAAGGGGGTGCAGTAGCCGGCAAGGATGTATGGCAGGTTGAGCACTCGGAGTGGGCCTACTGAGCAGCATGTGGTGAGGCTGGAGCAGGTGCCCCGTTGGATCGAGCAAGAGCCTCTCTCGCCATCCGCGAGTCACAGTGAAAGTGAAACCTCTGACCGGGGCTTCGTTGATCCTCTCACTACGTCGCTCGCAGGTAGACTTTTTGTTGGAGTTTTGGCCATATATACCTCTTGAATCAACGGATACTTGATTGTTATAGAAATCACGGTCCCCCACCGAATTTTACAAAAGCTCTGGGATCTGGACGTGGAGCTGAATTAGGTTAAAAATATGTGCCTGCTTGGTTATACGCAGCACAATCCTAGTTCAGTATCTTGTGCGCCGCGTGAACATGCGCGATCGTTCTTGTATCCTTGTAAAGGCGTGTTAGCTGGATGGCTTAGCGGGTGTTAATTCAAAGCTTTACCTACTCTGGAGATCGTGAATACGCGTCATTAGATCGTTAGTATATCTTCCTGTTTGCAAAGAGAAGAGAGAAGAGAGAAGTTAATTAACATTCAGAGGAAATATCGTTGTGTGAAGTATGGTGGTTATTAATTTTCAAGTTTTAGACTAATGGTACTCGCCCTAAAAAGTTTGCTCGTGCTCGATTTAGTATGTTTCGTAATCATCAGCATTTTAATGCCTCCGTCAAGACGATCTATAGTATACTGGTGGGACTTGGATCGTTGGATGGTTGCGAATTCCTCTTTTTTGTCTCATTTGTTTCTTTCAATTTGTGTTCTGGTGGTAATCGGGTTGCTAATGTGAACACTTGACGGAAGCCGTGAAACTTGGGTTGTAGCTATTGTCTCCTCCCTTGGTACTCTTTCTACGTACTTCGTAGGTGTTTTGCGCTTTCATCTTTGTTCTCTGTCCATTATAATACGCAGGTCTTCAGGAAAAAGACACAGCTTGCTCTAGTAGCTTCTAGAATTTTGAAACTATGAAGCTTATGAGCATTCAGTAAGACAATGTTTGTTCCTGCTGTCAGGTTCTGAAAATGGGGGAACGACTTATGGGTCAACTTCCAAGTTTCATGTTGATCATGACATGAATGCAAAGCTCTATCTGTGGAGGGGTACCCCATGGGTTTTAGAAGTTGATGCAGTTGTCAATTCTTCCAATGAGGTAAATTATGCATCGTTTCTTTCGAAATTAATGGACTATGTAAAGCTGCACCATCCAGACAGGGGTGAATGTAGTACACATCTTCTTTTCTGCTCCCTTGTTCTGTGCTTTCTACTCTTTAACCTTCTAAATATGGTGAACAGAATCTGGATGAAGCACATAGCACTCCTGGCTTGCACCCAGCAGCTGGACCTGGACTTGCTGAGGAGTGCGCCACTCTGGTAAGCTTTTGAGACCACTTACTAGGATACGTTTGACATGGTTGGTGTAGTAGATTGTGATGGTCATATCCCTTGTAAATGGATGCCTGTCAATCGTAACGTTATCAGTGGCTGAAGTTTTAGGATTTTTGTCGTATTCTGACACATGGTTACTTGCCATGTTAACAATTCAATTGTATGATGCTATTGTATTTCTAATAAAAGCGAGCGAGTTCAGAGCTAGCTCGATTTTATAGTTCCTACTCAGTTGTGATGCAGTGAAAATAGAGTATATTTTTGGGCTGAACTATATGTTACCATGATATTCAGTTTTATCGGCAATGGATTGGCTATTCACTTGAATGTACTCCAATAAGAAATGGATGTACATTTTATGAGAACTTGGGAGTGCTTTTGACAAGTGCTTCATCTATATTATACATCGAGTGCGGTAGTAACGACAAGTTGAGATTCGTGTACAGGGAGGGTGTCGAACTGGATTGGCCAAAGTCACTGGTGGCTATGATCTACCTGCAAGGTATGTTATTGGTTAAGGATTTCTGCCGATTTTTTCAGCAGCATTGTTTGCCTACTCTAGTAAGTCCATCACTAGGTAGTATCCATCGGCAATCCTTCTGTATACTTGTTCAGAATTCTAAATCAGATGGTTACAATTTACAGTAGGGGTTGGCTTGGTTGATTTGCAGGCGTGTGATTCATACAGTGGGACCTAGATATGCAGCACGGTACCACACAGCAGCTGAGAATGCATTGAGTCACTGCTATCGTTCATGCCTGGAACTTCTTATCGAGCAAGAACTTTCCAGGTTAGGTTTTTGAGTCACTTGTAGGATGAGTTTTATTGCTTCAGTTAGTTTTGGGGGGTTTTATCTATCATCTTTTACTTAATATAATATCAACTCTAGGTAAAATACCATGCTATCACAGTTCATAATGCTTATTGGAAATGCACATGTGTAGTGCAACTTAACATCTTTTCAAGTCTCATGTAAGTTGAACTTTATTAAGACTTGAACTTTGATGGTATAATATGCAACTTTAGTTAAAATTCTAGCTTCTACGTTGTAACTAAATCCTGTGCTTTGTTATTTCACCAGCATTGCATTTCCCTGCATTTACACAGAAGCCAAAGCTTATCCAAGGGAGCCTGCTGCTCATGTTGCGATTCGTAAGTACAATTTTTTTTAATACCGTGATTGTTTCATCTGCCTCTTTGGACTTTATAGTTCTTGAAAACACTTTCAGCGTGGCTAATTGATGCACGGATTTAAACAGGGACCGTTAGACGTTTCTTGGAGAAGCACAAGGACAAGATTACTGCTGTAGTCTTTTGCACATCAAATGCTACTGATACAGATATATATAAAAGGTCAGATAATTCAGTGTTACTGATAAAAGGAAGCTCGATACTTGGAAAAGATCCGACAACTTACGATTTTTTTATTTATTGGTTTGCAAAGCAGGGTATTATTTAAACTAGAATTATATGGTTATGTTTCACCGTTGAAAACATCATTCTAACTTGATTGTATTAACATCTAAATTTTTTTCGTCTGACTTGTTCTAGTCTGGTTGCTGGGCAGATTGCTTCCATTGTATTTTCCAAGGGACAATCATGAGGAGGAGATTGCCGCTACCAAGCTGCCAGCTGATGTGGGAGATGAAAACGGAGAAACAGTTATATCTGAACGCAAGATCAGAATATCAGCATTGCCTGGTGTGGATGGTTTTCCGATATCCACACAACCCTTCTCAGGAGATGTCACGCCTAGTTATCGGTCAGCTGCTATAAAAAGGTGGATTTTTGGTTCACATTATGTATTTTATGATAACCGCAAAACTAATGTGATGTGGGATCAATATTTGATAACACAACCGGTAATAGTAGTTCTGTGTATGTTCCATGTGTTCCTTCATTTGTTAATGATGGTAGTGTCCCTTTATGAACATGTTCCTCTGGTAACTTTTTTCCGCATGGCCCTCAGTACTTTTGATTTCATGGTCTTCTCGTGGAGAATTTTGAAGTGGTAAGCATTGTCCGATTATGAATTGTGTGTAAATCGTGAGTGTTCAAGTCTCTGATCCGACTAGTCCTTGTATGAATGTATGTGTGTTTATAGGAACGACTCAATTGACGGGTTGGTTGACCCCGCCTTCATGTCGATGACTCGGGATCCTGATCAGAGACGGAAAGAGCAATGGGAGAAAGCTGCACAATCTCAGACAGGATGGGCATGGGGCAGATGGTTAGGGCTTGGAGGCTTGGGGGCTTCTGTCCTCTCCTCCACTGAACAAGATTCTCTTCATGGGCGTTTTCTCGCCAGAGCAAATGCTATTAATCTTACAGAAGTTGCGGAGATGAAGATATTGTACTTGCTCTCACTTACCTTTGTAACACCACTTTTATTTAATTATTTGCCATGGATGTAATGGCGTATAGTGGCCAATGATTGTGTGTTTGAGATTAATGGTTGACGCATTGCAGGTACCGAGGTGGAGTCGATGTTGATGGGCGACCAATCATGGTAGTCGTCGGGGCTCACTTCCTCCTCCGTTGCCTCGACTTGGAGCGTTTTGTATTGTATGTTGTGAAGGTTAGTGCATACTACCTGGCACATGATGTTGTTGTAAGTGGGTCTGTGATTTTGTTTGTAACTTTCTTTTCTACTTGGCGGTTTTTCAATACGCTGCAGCACATTGGTTTTTAAGAAATATCTCGATGAAATTTGCTTTTCAAGGGTATTGCAATTTGAGTGGGCAGGTGGTCAAACACTTGTAGAAAGTGTCGTGTATTATAATTTTGGCTGATTTTGTCGTTTGTTCTATTTATGATGCATTGATTATGAACTTTGGATGTGTTGTATTAACAGGAAATGGAGCCACTCATCAATAGACCTTACTCAATTGTGTACTTCCATTCAGCCGCATCACTCTCAATGTGAGTTAGCTTGTGTATTAGCTTACTTTTGTTGCTGGAGCAACCGTCTTATGGCTGGAGCACCTGGTTACTTTCAAATTTAACACGATTTATTTTAATCTTTTGTGAATGTGAGTTATACTTCTCTTGAATGTGTTGTGAATTGGTTTTAATCCTCAAACATAGTTTTCGCTCTGGTCACAGACAACCTGATTTCGGATGGGTGAAGCGCCTTCATCAGATTTTAGGACGGAGGCACAAACATAATCTACATGTATGTACACATGCTTGACCCAAGCTGGTGGATATCCTTTTGAAAGTGGCAGAATAATTACTTCAAGCTGCAATTTCTTTTATCATCATGTCGGTTATGTCAGATAAAAGTTGACCTTGTCGAGGCAGTCTGAGCAGTTTCTTGAAGTAATCATTCAATTCCTGAGTGTTTGTATGTGACAGGCAATCTATATATTGCACCCAACTCTTGGTTTAAAGGCGACGGTGATGGCCTTGAATTTACTGGTGGAACCTGAGGTAGGTTTTTAATAATATTCCTGACATGAACTACTTAAACGTAATTTTAGTTTCGTTACTCTAGCCTGACTACTAGATTCTTTTTCTTTTTCCTTTTTTATTTTTACTTGTGGATTCTATATCTGAGTGATTTCTTTTCATCAGGTTTGGAAGAAGGTGGTCTACGTAGAGAAGTTGTCGGATCTCTTCAGATATGTTCCTCGGGAGCAATTGACCATTCCAGACTTTGTTTTCCAGTAAGTCCCTATCCTCTAATCATCGGGGATACATTAAATATGGGGATTTTTGAGCTTAGTAATGTAAAATAGATTTTCGATGAATAATTTGTTTATGGATTTGTAAACGACAATATTTGTTCGTCAGCTTCAATATTTCCTGGATTCCTCATGCTTTTGTTTGTAGGAAGGCGTCTAAATGTGGTTGTATTTCACCAGTCTTTTGGGCATAGTTTTCACAGTACATTTGTGGATCCTGGAATGCAGGCATGATATTGAGGTTCATGGGGGAAAAGCTTTTGGGATTGATCCCAGACCACGAGCCATAGCAAATAGAAGCCTTCTGACCTCCCGGTAGCAGTGTTTGTGAACGCTGTTTTGTAAAGCTCCTTGTGACCCTTGGTATTTCAGCCAACTTGTCACATATTCCCCCTGTTCTTATACGTAACTTGTCTGTAATTAGGGTTGCAAAATTATTATTTTATATCGTAGACAAGGTTGCAGGTGAATTTCTGAAAGAAATTCTCCGCTTGAAGGTGTTACTATCTTACCACAATGCAATGGATTTGTGAAAATTTTCTATTTCTGACCAGTCTGCTTTCAGCAGTAGTTGCTGGATATTAGATTTGCAGCTTCTCCAAAAATTCCATGGTATAAGCTCTAGCTCTTCCTGCGTCTTGATCATCATCATCTACCAGAAACACTGAAATCACTTTCAATTTTACTCCTAGTTTTTAATTTTTATCATATTGCAGTTTCCTACAATCCCATCCTAACTAACAAGAGAGTCTAAATATTCATCATCATTAAAAATGATTTAAGTATCGAATTGGCATTGAGTTTTGATATAAAATGAAGTAAAAAACTATAATCTTTATGTTCTCAGTAAAAACGCAAAATGGTTAGCTCAGCATTGCATTTGCACTGCTATCTCACACTCCATGCACTGGAATGCTTCTAAATAACTTTTCCTATTCCCCTTCTATATGTGGAAGCTGTAGATAGCAGATAAAAACCTGTTGTTTTTGCTTCAAACAATATCACAAAATCAATAATTGGGGTTGAGATTCAGTAGTCTTGATTGAAACCTAAAACTGAAATCTGGCACTATGGTCTCATTGGTTATCTATGGTTTACCTGCATATTATGCTCATCAAATATATATAAACAAGTGTATACATATAAAGATTGAAATTATGTGGAGGTATTTTAGTTAATTCAAATCCTACATGTAACATAAATTACATTTGTATGTCTAATATACATGATATAGAAATATATATATATATAGGAGAATGTTAAATAGACCCAAATTTTTACTAGATTGACGTGGCCATCCTAACCATCATGTAAAATAAAAATGATCTCAAGATTCATTTCTCCACTATTAGATATGCAATCAATAAAAACCAACTTCATTCATCATGATTACCATATTCTTCATCAAAGGCGAGTCTATTTAATAAAAGATTATGTCTATTTAACATTCCCCTATATATATATATATATATATACACACATATCTCTCTTTATGTGAATAGTATATAACATATTTATGAAGTATCCTCAACAAAACATGTACTTGGAATTTAGTTGGAATACAATTTTAGTTTCTAGATATATATATATATATATATATATATAATTTCTATAAAACATCTCAAATACTCTTAGAATATCCACATAGATAGCATAAGAGTCTTGGTAAAACTTTATTCTATCAAATTTTAGCCTTTAGACTTTAAGGTCATGCCTCATTATTTAATTACCCATCAATTGAATTATCAATCCAACCACTACAAGTATCTTCCATACTCAATCCATTTTATCTTATCTATGCAAGAATAGAGACTTAAATATCTTATATATAATCAATATTAAGATTGAGAAGATATAATTAAAGTGTACTTTGAAAATCTATCAAATTCTATAAACTTTGTTGCAAACAAATCAAGATTAACGGAAGGAATGGTGATTAAAAAGTAATATTAAACTGGTTTGTGTCGTTCTTTATAATAATTGACAAGACATAGGAGTTTAAAATATATTTATTTAAAAAAATAAAAATAAAATGTTACGTAATCAATTTCAAAATTATTAAGGCACGATATAATTTTTATTACTAGAAACAAAGCATAATGTAAAAATAAAAAAATAAAAAAATAAAATATTTTTAATAATATGAAAAAAGAATAAATTTTAATAAACTTAATTGAGTAAATATTGTACTCTTTTACAAGATATGCAGTAGGAAAATATTAAGTATTCAAAGACCTACAATATTTCTTAAATTTTATATAAAATACATGCAAAGGCATCACAAGATAATAGAAGCAGTGCTTATATAAATCATAGTTTTAAAACGAATTTTTTTTTAATTACGTGTCTTTTTTTAATATAATATTCTAGTGACTCAAGAAACAACATACTAAGATTCTAATTGGCCTTAAATTCTATTAAAATCCGATTTTTGTAAAGTCTTTAATAAAATGTCTTTGAATTTTTTTCTATGAGATAATCCAAAAACTTAGGTTTTATAATCAATATATAATATGATATTATTTTTTTTTGAGAGAGCAAAGGCTTTGGTGTAAACAAATGACAATAAAACTAATTATTTTCTATTAAAGAAAAAAAAATATCAAGAATGTCATTTGGCTCCTTACTTATTTTGTTATGGTAGATGAAATTTTAAATATAGATATTCAAGATGCAATTAAAATTTAAGATGGAAGAACATAGTTGGAATATTTCTATTAGAGGATTATAAATATTTTTTAATTCAGTATACAAATGAACTTACTTTAATTATATATGAACTAGAAAAAATTTGTGCATAAAATTTTTAAAAAATCGCAAATATTTAGTCATGCTTTAGAAATAGTTATAAATTAATTTAAATTATTGATCTATTGGGAAAAAAAAAAAAAATCTATGACTAGAATGGATAGATAGGTTTATATGAACTTGGACTAATGAGACTAACATCAAGAAATTATTGGATATCTTCTTTGGCTTACATATCCAAACTAATGATTTTGACTAGTTTCTAATTGATACTATGAAATATAAACTTGACTATTGATGTTCTTTCAAAATCAATATGGCACAAGGGATTATAATTGTACATGATATTCTCCTCTCTTTTATATTCTATTTCATATCTAAATTAGTTAGATTACAAAAATAAATAAAGCAAATAAGAATTCTTTTAAAAGCTTTTCTAAACAACATCCTTGTTATAAAAAAAAATAGCACAAAGTATGTATTGTAAGCTTAGGGATGAAAGAAAACTTAGATTTATAGATTCCAAATATGCAAATATAGTCTTCTTAGCAAAATAGACTATTACAACTTAACACCTTAAAAAATTAAGTATTCAAACATTCTAGAAACTTAGACTAATGTAAGCATTATCAAATGCTTTTAAAAAAATGGGTACTAGACTCTCACCTTGCTCTTCTTTCAACTTATATATAAAGGGGTAAAATATTGACCAAAATATATATATATATATATATATATATATATATCGGACCAAGCTGATCATTTATTTAGAGATAAGAATTCTAAAAACTTTATTCTGAAATTTGACATAAGTTTTTGTAACAAGTGACAAATTTTTCACTTGCATTGGATTAGAATTAACCTCAAAGGACAATCTAATTAGAAAAAATATGAATTTAATATGTAAATTAATTTTTTAAATAAAATAATAATAATAATAATATATTTTATTTTTTAAAATAATTTTTTTAATTTCTTATTAGTATAAAACTATTATTAGGAATATTTAACTAATTTATGTTATAGAGGTTATAAATATTTGTTAAGAAAATAAATAGCATGCTTAAAATAAGAGATTTGATAGAATTATATATATTATAAAATAAAATTTTACTATAGTACATATTTTGAATAAAAATCTAGATCCATAAATACAACAACCATAGTTTGAATTACTTAGGTCAACTAAGATCAAAATTTATATAATAAGAGGCCAATTTAAAAGTCTAAATCATGATAGAATGATTTAGCAACAAAGCATGCTACCATAATGGTTCAACATCTATAGCCATAATACAACATAACATGTGGCTTTGTAAAAATAGTTACAATGATAATTTGTACTGAGAGAAAATACTTTTTGGATACAAAGACAAAATTTTATTTTATGGAGTAATGGATGTTCTTTTATTTTATCTTTACATATATTTTTATTTATCATGGCCTAAATTAATGACATGCAGAAAAATTCATTTTAAAGTACACAAAGTTCTTAGAATTTAAATACTTAAAAAATGTATAGGAGTACTAAACAAAAAATAATAATTACAATTAGAATAATGTGTTGTTTAAACTAAAAGACTAAAAAAAATGTTAATAGAAATAATTTGACATTGTACAATGGTTGTTGATGTATGAAAAACACAATATAATACTAAAAAATAACCTCTGTTATGTTGTCTTTGCACACCAAAACATCATATATTATTTTTATACTAATTCTTAGAATGCCTTCAAACAAGAAGAATTTGGGATTAGTCATTTGCAAGCTAATTACAAGCTTAAGATTTTAGGAGCATTAGTGGTCAATTACTAGGAAACAAATAATTTTTTATAAAAGATATTTTGACCAAATCTAGGAGGTTCAAAACTATTTGGTTATACTTGAAGAAAGTGCGTATCTAGACAATTCAATTACAACAAAATAAAATGTTGTTTAATGGCAAAATGTGGTTAGATCAATATGCATAAAAATTAATCTAGACCATCCTTTAAGAATATAGAAGAATAGTATAGAAATCTACAAGAGATAAAATAGATAAACAAAATTGAAATTAATGTATTATTCTTTAAAGAATGGAATAGATTATGGGTGGCCAAAGAAATAATATAGTTACAAATATATTAAAAAATTCTAAATAAAGTAGAAAAAAAAAAAATAGATTTCTATAAAGTAGATTGATTCTTTATGAAACAATGAAAGTTGAAATGTTCCTTTGTTTGTCCTTTATACAGGATGTTAGAAAATAAGATGCCTCTTGTTATAAAAATTATAATCAATGCATCAAATATATCTTGTAGATATGAAAAAACAAAATAATGTAGAATGCAAATTGTGGAGCTCCAAACCTTGTAGCAAATCTTGAAAGTCCAAATCTTAACAGATTCCTTTTGAAGCCTAACCCTTGTGAACAATAGTATTCTTAGAAATTTTACTCTATAAAATAATAATAATAATAATCATTCATAGCAATAAATATGATCTTTTGCAACTACCATTGTTTCTTGATATAACTTACTCTGATATTCTTCAACGTTCTCTTGCTGCAGCTTGTAATTTTTTGATGATGTTACATTTTTATTTGTATTTTTGTATGATTTTAAAACAGAAATTTAATATAAAAATATTCTCCCATTTTTCGAAATTATATTAATACTGTCAAAAGAAATACAAGCAAAGAAAACTGGACATAAAGCATACCAAAACAACAAACATCATAACTACAAAATATGGCTTAGGTAGTGAAAGACTAATAGAACTATCATAAGCAAAAATATCAAAAAGATAATCAATCTAACAAGAATATGAAAATAGAATCAAAACAATTGCAAATTTGTCCAATTTAAGAAATGGATAAGCATGATGTGCTTCCTTGCTTGATGATGTTTGTTATCTCTTTGACTTAAAACTTGTTCTGTGATTCAAATATTAGATCCTCTTCTAATATTGTAACATAACAAAAAAAATTGGATTTCCATTTTTTTACAATTTCCACAATTAATATAGATTTAGTGTGTTAACTCTAGCTTTGAACAAAATATTTTCAATATGCTGCACGTTGTCAAATTTATTTTGTTGTTTTATTATTATTGCATATGTTTCTCCTTTTTCCTTTTTTACATTATATCAAAGTTCAAACTTCATATTTACTTTCAAACTAATATGCATCAAGGTACAACACAATGGTGCATTTCTAAATTCTTTAAACATGAGTTGTTTGTAAGAGAAACCAGTTGTAATTATGGATGGTTAGACATTAAATTTGCATTATTCAACTTCAAATCGTTGTAAGTTGGTATTTCATGCTTCGACTGTGGGATGGGAGGTGCGTGTTATTACGCTTGGACATGAAAATTCAGCTCCACAGTACATTAACAAGTTCGTTTTTTGAATTTCGATTCCAACTGTTTGAATGTATATATATATATATATACGCACGTGCATACACATTTTCATAATCATCAGTTGCAACTTCTCTTGCCACTAGTACATGATAGAATATATAACACAGGCATATACATCTCTGTCTGTCCACTATAAATAACTGGATTACATACTGCTTCCTAAGTGGCTGGTTAGTTTATATTCTCATTGCTATGATTTGAGAGCATTGGTAGTATTCATGAAGCATTGTGAAAAATCCAAACACGAAGAAGTTCCCTCAAAACTCTCTTGTGGGCACAATCCAACAACGAAGCACATCTACAACACTACTAGAAGGAAAATATAAAGAAAAAAAATAACACAAAAACTGAGATTGCGGATCAAGGCTAGCATTGTTTCATATTGTCAAGACAATAAGAGATTTCACTTCTGTTAAAAAAAAAAAAAAAAAAACCTCGAGTAACTCCGAGTTGTCAACCCTCAGGTACAGCCTACTTACAACTCGACAGATCAGAGTTACACTGGGTACCACCCTCTAATATTCATATGGATCGTCGCCACGTTGCACTCCGGCCAAGAGTTGGTCTAAAGTTCTCATGCGACCCACAAACTTTGTGTGAGATCAAAGTTTCTACCACGAAGGAAGTTCTCTGTCTACCTCTCAGCTGGAGCCCCTGAACAGCTTAAACTGGTGCCATACCTACCTGCAGAATTGAGTTGAAAATCACTCTCACGATTCAGAATATCCCGAGAAAGCTGGACCAAGTAGAGGGGGCTCATCTATTGAGGCTCCGTACGAGTGGATTTTGTTGAATCGCCAGTAGCTATCAGGTAACTCATCCTTAAACCAATCCTGAAAATCAGTGAACTGCTGCGATACTTCAGACACTGAGAAGTAGTTTATTGGGAACATGTCACCAGTGAGCAAGCCTTCAGTGTGTCTTGGGATCCTCTTGTACTGCAGTTCAGAAACAGGAGGAGTCAACAAATCTCTTACTTTGGCAGGAATTGAAATTTGACTGCCAAATAAAGCCATCAGCTAAATAAAAAAAGAATATGTAGAGCTTGCCACAGGTTCTTTCACTTGATCTAACGAGGACAAGAAAACCACAAAACAGATGTTTGGTACTATCATTGCAGATATGCAACATTAGCAACTGAACAGATTAATGAGAACAGGTCAGTAAATAAGGGAGATAGAAAATTACCAACAAGAAACCCATCACTTTTTCTAGAAAGTCATCTTCATTCATATTGACAGCTGTCGGATATATCTTCCCGACCACCACCCTATGCCTGCAAAGCAGCCCAACCCACCCGTGTAAGTTGGTAAGACATATCAACAACAAACATTTCCTAGTCTAAGCTATCTCAAGATGTGGTGGATACGCTGGAGCTAAATATCCGCCTGACCTTCAATCACAATAGAAGTACTCCGTTGAGTTTAAATTCAAATTGAACACAACTAGAGCCAGTAGAACATAATCTAATACAAGGCTGAACTAGCTTACACAGTCTCCTTGTCGTCTTTGCTAACGAGAATGTCATATATCCATCCTCCATTTGTCACCCATTTGTCCTCAACATTAATCTCAAAAACAATTTCTCCACCGTTTGGTACTTTGACCTTGCACATCCTTCTCCGTGCTGCAGCCTCGGCAAGTTCCTTTTCTGCTTGTGCTAATTCTTCACCAGACTGATCCTCTGACTGAGCGGAGTCAGACAAGAGCCACGATAAGTACGAGAAATCAAGATAGAATAATTACTAACCGAAACAAGCAGCCCCATCGATAATTTCGGTGTAAAATTCTCAAACGAGACTGGCAAACGATTAGTTGCAAGTTCTATGTCCTAAAAAGAAGGCGAAACAGCATACTAAATAATCAAAAGCCCAGTGCTTGAATGCTCGTGATACAGTCTAACAACCTCCAAATGAGAATCGAATTCGTCATACCGGTAAAACATCGCACTTTCCGGCCTCCAGTAATTGAGGGTCAAACACCATCTGCGTCAAACCAAAGAAGATCAGAACAGGACCAAGAAGAAGTACACACATGCTCATGATATCAATGAAACTAGAGTAGAACGCAATATGCTAGGTAACTCCTAAACCAGAAATCGAATCGGATGGCTTGAACCTTCAGTTTACCTCCTCTTTCAAGCCTCGGTCGGCCATCATTTGTAAATTTACTTTTGCCTTTGCCATTGCGGCTGCGGCCCTTCCCCTTTCAGAAATAGAACCTGCATCACCAGGCTGTTCCCAAAGAGATTTCTGAAATGGATCTGTATTTCCAGGTGGTGTTAACCCGAGTTCCGAAAACCACTGCCACAGCAACGTCACTCGTCAATACTATTTTTGACCCTCTCCAAGTTAGACTGGTTCAACGAACATATTTAGATACAACGCACAAAGATTCATTTGAAAGTCACATCCCAGCTCCGTAAAAAGTATTTAAAGTGGATGAGAAGAACGCGTGCACAGCTTGGACATTGTGTTACGGCACTCACCGATTGCCGGCAAGCAAGCATTTGCTTCTGATCCAACTCATTCAAGTTGTAGAGCTTGTAGTAATGGCACATGTCAGGACGCCTGCCCATCAGCAACCGTAGGGAATTTCGCACGTCTTTCGAAAATCCAATATACTGCACACATATTGAGGCAGAGTATCAAATTTAGTTATACTGTAATTGATAACTTGAGATTAGATTGCACTCGATGTTCCATTGGAGTGCAACACTGTACAAATTTTGCTACACTTTTGCATACTCGAAAGAATCAGTAGAGACGGTAAAATTAAACGTGCTCTGTGAACGGAAGTTCCGAGCTAGCAGAGTTTACATTGACCATCTGCACAACTTTCACGACGTCCGACTTCATTCTGCATTGGAGAAATAGCTATCAAGGACGTAAATTCAATCACAAGTAGAAAAGTAAACAACATGTAGTCCAAACAATAACTACCAAGTTAACTGTGAAAAAAGAATTAAAACTGTTCGTGTGAGGAACAAGAAATTACCTGAATTTTCTTGTTTTGATCACAGATTGCAAAAACAGATGCGGCTGTGTTAAGCTCGACAGGGGGTTGAATGCGCCCTTGTTGATTGATGAAATTGATCAGGGGCAGTTCATTGAGACTAGGAATAGTTCCCTCGGTTGTATCCGTGCCCGCAGCCATGGCCACCACGGCATTGCGACCATGCATCCGTAAAGTTTGCTTCCTTGAGCAACACTTCAGTGCCAGTCTGGCTTCACCGTATAAACTCGAACTCTGCTGACTGCAACTGGAGACAGCGTGCTGGTGGCCAAAGCAATTGGAAATGGGCAAGGTCACTCGAGGCGAGGCATTCAGCGTGGAAGCAGAGCTGGTTGAACCCAACTGGGACATGGCGGTAACCCCGCTGGTGACGCACGTAGCCGATGCCTACCACACACAACATTCCAAACCACTTCGTCACTAAATCCTGCCACAAAGATGACAGACACTGTTTCACAAGAAGAGCAAACAACCTACTACTCACGCCTATCTCTAACCATCACACCCACTCGCCCAGCTACGCATTTGCAGTCCCCCGACAGAGGCAATCTCAAGAGACGTGTAAGGGATCAAAAAACCCAGAAAAGTAAAACCCCGATCAAGGCAATGAAAGACCGATTTCTGTGTCACAACCTCCACTGTACAAAAACCCACCCCAACTTCACACACAAACCCCCACCGCCGCTTCTCGACCCTTGCAAAAAACAAGCAAAACAGCTTGACCTCGACTTACTAACTCTTCCTTCTCGCCCTCGTCAATGACATATGTAGTGAAAGGAAAATGGAACAAGTAGCAGAAACAAGAGTGGAAAAAGGAGCACTGACCATCGCAGCGACTGCTTGAAGACCGGCTCCCTTGCTCCTCAAACTCCCGCTCTGATTCCTTGCGCTTCTACAAGGTCCAGGATGCGGAAGTGGCTTGCGGCATAGCGAGCGAGAGAGATGAGAAGAGAAGAGAAGAGACGGCGAGGGAGTAATGTGCCAATGGGATTTTGTTGGATAAGGAGGGCGATCCTTAGCTCGGATTTTCCAGCTCGCTCCTCCCCTTTTCTTTTTTTTTTCTAGTTTCCAAAATTGGGGAAAAGCTTAAAATATCTGCTGCCTCCTCTTCTATTCTACTGTCACTTTCTCTTTCTTCTCTTACTTTTTCCTTGATATATCAGCTTTTTGAAGATTGGGCAACCATACCTGAAGGTACAAATGGTGCCACCCCTGCAAGATAAAATGCCGCTCAAGACCCATCTTCCGAAATTCTGCTGTTAATGGTGTATCTGTTCACAAAGCTTTAAGAGACTAGAGATATTTTGATTGTGTTTATTACAGAAGAACGCAGTACACTGTGATGAATGTCGATTTTTGGGTGTATATGCATTAGAAAACCAGTTTCGATTTCACGTAATGTTGTTGTTCACAGAAATGACATTATCCATGATCTTCCATCACAACTTCAAAACACCAAATACTCCTAAATCTGGAATACTAGTAGTTCATTGTGCATCAAATCACAATGTAACAAATTGTTTATAAAATAAAAATAGTATAGAGTTCTTTAGTGTAAATAGAAGCTGTTAATAAAAACATCTCAAGTCATCATTTGGATGATGGATGTCACACATCGAAGATTCTTTTCGTAGGTGTTGTACTTAGTACGGAAGATATTCATGCTTCAGTGCTCACCATGAGAATTCAGTAAACATGAAAGAAGAGCATTACAAATGAGAGGACGACGGAGAACAATGGCTGCATAAACCCACAGTAGCTAGAACGGAGTCGAGCATTCTGTATACTGCTCACGAAGTGGCTCAAGCGCTAGAGAATTCAACTCAACGTGCGTCGTACGAGGGGTCTGGAATAGGATGCGACTGTGTGGTCGGTTCACATCGATTCAGTGCAAGAAGCACAAATAGTCATATCGGCAGTTTGAACTCAACAGGCAGTGAGATTGACACCGTGCCGGTTGAAAGGGCAGAGAAAACAGCAAAAACAAACAAACAGAACAAGCAAAGCCATGGAACAAACCAGCACAATCAGTTGTGCAACTTCAGGCTCTTTCTAGAATACACACATTCTCAGCTGTGAGATTTAACCTATTGCGGTTGTCATTGAACAACGCGATCGGCCCCAGACACTAACTTTGCCTCTTTTATAACATCTCCCGTTTTCAGTTGAGAGAGCAGCTCCCTACCTTTGGTGACATACCCAAATACAGAGAACTGGCCCTCTTCGAACGACAGGCCACCTAGTCCAGAGTTGCGCCTGTCATACAAGTAGAAGAAAAACTGTGAAGGGGAGGAGAAATCTTCGGACGTCTTGTTGTGCGCCATGGCCACGGCGCCATAAACAGATAGTGGCAACACTGGCAACTCGCCGTCCTGCACGTTGAGGGTTGTCCTGTATAGAGGTTGAAACTCCCCGGAGGGCAGGATCTCGATAGGTAGCTCTCGCCCTGCTCCGTTGAGATTCTCCGTGTCGGACAGTACTGCCTGCTCTGTGTTTCTCAATTTAATCCCGTTGTAAGCACCTCTCTGGATCATATCGGCAAAGTTGCCTGTACAGGAAACACAGCAGGAAAAAGGGTTCTAATCAGCATAGTTCTCCACATCGCATAGAGATCATATGCCAATCGACACAAGAGTGTTCTTCCAGCGAGTCCTTACCTGCCGTCAAAGGAGCAGAGTAACCATCCAGAACAATTTCGAGAACTCCAACTGGCTGAGGACCGCCACCTGCGGCCACAACGAACGTAGACCCATCACCTTTCTCTAGAGTCAGCTCGGCGACTGCCCGTCCTGTGAGGTGAGGGAAATCCTGAAACTCTTTAGGGAGTAGGAACGCCAACCCCGTAGCTTGCATCACCTCCAGTTGAGCGATGGTGTCGAGCGACGAGGCAAGGCGGATGGAGACTTTGTCTGCGTCTTTCGCAGCAATAGCATCTAGAAGGCCAGGAAAACCGCCCTTTGCAGTCATCAAGTCATTGTAAAGCTGCGTGCCTTTCTCCTTCTGGTCAGCTGGCAGTGCAGCTAAAATTGCATCCTTATCGTCTTCAGCTAATTTGAGCGCCTTCTTCACGTCACTCTCCATGGTACCTAAACATTAAAAGCTGTTGTCAAATCCCTTGTGGCCACCTAAAACTTCAGATGTAAGGACTGCATTTTCCAAGCCTTCATGACAACTTTCGCCATGACTGTAATGTAGAAGATTATCAAATTCCAATTCAAATCATTTCTTCAGAAAGCTGAGATCTATAAATCTAATACTGGTTCTGAACGTGAGATGGCATCAAGGATACACCACTCTATCACGAAAAACCTCATTTGTGCTTCGTGATGTCACGCGCAAACTTTGTCTTAAAAGTGAACTGTCATTCGAAAGATGTGCTTGAGAAAAAACAGGGGTGCCTACATATGTGACTGCGAGGGCTGCACTTTCACGAGTCTACATGATCACCCTGAATGAATCGCCTGGGGAAACGTTTATAGGAATACAGGAATAATTCGAAGTGGAGGTGTGCCCACTTACCGTAAGGTTTCCGCTGGGGGATGCGGAGCAGATAAAAGATGTCCTCCAAAGATTCCTGGATTTGTTTCATAGAAACATTGACAGCTGGAATTGCCCTCCGCAAAGCCACTTCCGCTGAGCGAGGAACTTTGGTATCCGGAGAGTACAGCACTGCCTCCGCTGGACCGGCGCCCCATTCTCCCACAAGCCCATCGATGGGGATCGGCGCTACCGCTTGTAATGTCGCCAACAGCAGCGCAAACACTCGACCTCCGCTCTTCTGCCATAGACTCAAATCCGCTGTCACTTCGCGGTTCCCAGTCTTGGACTGCGAGAGCTCATCCGCAGCGGAAAGCCTACCGATTCGAGGGAATGCATCAGTTTTCACATGAAGCTCTGCATCCTCTCTAGCACTGGGTGCGAGGGGACGAACTCCTGGGTAACAAGCCCGTCTGGGGTCAATACACCTTGTCTTCGACGAATTAGGAGGTGACTTCGAGTGAATCGATTTAATGACTGAGGAGAATTGCGACACAGCAGTTACCTTGCTAGCAATGCACGCGGCCGAGGCCTACAATCAATCACACTATATCACCGTCTTCAGCACGAAACCCAATTCAAATCATCCACAATCCACTCAAAAACAAAAACAACCCAATTGCTTACAAATCTCTTCCAGTGTGGGCGAACCCAATAAAGTACTGCATAAGACGGTGGCAAGTGGGAATAGAGCGACGCACCATCACGACAGAAGGGCCAGCTTCACCGCGAAGTGGCGAATTCTACAGCAAGGCCAGCAAATTCCACAGCGACGCTCGCGTGCGAGAAGCGACGGGGCTTCGAGACGGGTGGGTGGGTGTTGGATAAGGGTGGCGCCGGGGCCGGGATCGTGATCGAGGATGACGTTCATCCATCAACGATATCATGTGACGGAAGCGTTCTTCATTCATCCGTGTGTTTTGTCAAAGGGTGTGTTGCTGATGGTGTTGGCCATACCAGTTCAAAAATGTACATTTTTCTTATTCATTTTTCAAACTTTTTTTCTTTTGTGATTCTCGTTTTTTACTTTCATAATTTATAAATATTTGCATACATGAACCGTAATGTAACAGTTGTGACCCAAATCAACATAATTAGGTGTATGGATTTTTGTATGAGTGCGTGTATATTTAATAAAAGTACATGTTTAATTTACATAAGGATAACTTAAAAAGAGTCTGATTTTTTTGGGTTCTGAAATTCACACTTGATCGAAGTTAGTAAGAATTAAGCTCAAATTCATAATTACATCACTTTGTATGTGTATATATATATATATATATATATATGTATATGTTTTAAGGTCGTTTTATTATTTTTAACTTACATATATTTTGAGTAAAAAATAGTAACATAAAAACCTGCACAACACTAATGCTACTAATATTTAGTAAAGAAGAATGTTGTGAACCGTTCAATTGCTTGAATTTTACACCCACTATTCCATGCATTTGTCTGCTATGCTCACCCTATCAGAAAAATCTTGATAACACAATAAACTTATTTTGTCAGAAGATTTAATGTAATTTTTATGCAATTAAGGATGATTTATTTTTTTTCAGATTTATTATATGCTACGAGTCTGTTGTTATCAAATCTTAACTTTTAATTAACATACAATATCAATGGAATTAATCTTCATGTCTAAACTTGTTCGACATAATTTTTCTAAGACTCCTTCGAATGACAACACACTCTGTATTAATATTCATGCATGGGAATGTTGCAAATTGTTGGTTTATGCAAATTATTTTTTTGTTTTGATATTGAAAATGCTAAACATCCTGATAATTTTCTAAGTTTAAAACATCCTGATACTTATTCTTTATTCTCACATTTATAGTTGCATGTGAGACAGATAATAATTATTGAAATTATTGACACAAATATTGAACTTAAATGAACAAAGTTGCTTGTAAATATGCATGTTTTTTGTATGTCTGCATCTATTAGGATTTGAAATATTTTGTTTTTTCAGTTTTGTTTTAAACATTCTACAAACCATATCATTTTTGCGATGTATATATATACAACGTTTACATACAGTTTAATTGACACAAGTGTATTGCAATTGCTCTCAATATCTTACATTTATTTATTTATTTATTTTTCTTTCTTTCTTTCTTTTTGAACAACTACAATCACAATTTCATAAAATTATTAAAGTATACAATGTTAACAACAAAATGCATCCAAATTTTCATTAACATTATTTTTTTACTCTTGCAACAAGAATATTAATGTGATAACAAAAAAGTGATTTTTCTAATATAAAATGTTTCTCTACTCAGAAAATATAATAAAACCAAGTAATATTGTATTTACTGTGTGTAGTACTATTTTAAAATGATATAAAGTTGTCTAAACATCTTCCATCGAAAGTTACGAAAAAATAAAACCAGATCATAGTTACAAAAGCGATTGATTAGCTATTCTTTGTTCTTTCTCTAAATAAATTATCTTCGGTGGAAGAAAAAGAAAAAAACACACACACACACACACACATTCCCAATCGCCTTCTTTTCATTCATTTTTAATTCAATAAAAGTCTTGAAACCAGTGAGGGAGTGAGTGGCACCAGGCGAGCGAGTAGAACACGAGGGGAACAGAAAGGGAACGAGAAGGGGACAATTAGGGTTTAGCGGGGAACGGGCAGGGGCGCCGAGTAGGGTTAAGTCCAGGGAGCCCTCGTCTTCTGACCCTCTTTCTGCAGCGTTGCGCCACCTCGTCGGAGCTCCAGTTCACGTCCAGCATCGCATTGCATTGCCTTGGTAAGCAGGTCCCAGCAACATGGCGGACAAGGCGTGCACCGTGCGCACTCGCAAATTCATGACCAACAGACTGCTCGCCAGAAAGCAGTTCGTAAGCAGCGCTGGCCCTCCTCTCCGTTCTTTCTCCCATCGGTTTCCCAACTACTCGGTTGGATTGAGCTTTTCTGGGATTGAGCTCTTGTTGGTTCTGTGGTAGCACGCTTTCATATTTAGGTCTTTGGCTGCTGGGTTTAGGGAGAGATTTTATTCTTATTGTTTATTTTTTCGGAAATTTGGTTCGGTTTTAGGGTATTGATGGGCGGTTGTGTGATCGTTTGTGCAGATCATTGATGTTCTTCACCCTGGTCGTGCCAATGTCTCGAAGGTGAGTTTGTGTAGCGAGTGCTCATAGTTGTATGCACTTTTTTGTAATTGTTTCGGTCAATATGGGGATTGTTGCGGTGTCTGAACTTGAATTGTGTGGTTCAGGCCGAGCTGAAGGAGAAGCTTGCCAAGCTTTACGAAGTTCGTGACCCTCAGACTATCTTCGTGTTCGGCTTCAGGACCCAATTTGGAGGTGGCAAGTCCACTGGGTTCGGTCTTATCTACGACTCTGTTGACTCTGCTAAGAAATACGAGCCCAAGTACAGGCTCATTAGGGTATGTTCTGTCTCGGCGCAGGGTGTCACGGGATTTCTGCGAGTGATAATCTATAGCTTATGCTACCTTTCTCAATTTCATTCTGGCAATCGAAAACCTAATTCTGCATCCACTGTAATTTTAATAACTTTCAAATTGGGAACATGTAGAATGGATTGGCTACCAAGGTGGAGAAATCCCGGAAGCAGATTAAGGAGCGCAAGAACCGTTCCAAGAAGATCAGGGGCGTGAAGAAGGTACGTGACTTGGTTGTGAGTAGTAGTTGGAATTTGATTATTGCGCATTTTGTCATTTGTTTTGATCTATGATGTTCTATGCTGTTACAGGCAGTTATTAATAGGATACCACATTACTTAGTACTACTACTTATTTACTAATTCTTATATTCTCCTACAGACGAAGGCCGCCGGTGACGCCAAGAAGAAAAAGTAGATCTGAGATTTTTCTTCAGATTGTATAGCCGTAAAGTATACTTCTCCTGGTGGATTTACTATGGCAATCTTAATGAAATGAGAGTTATGACATGTATTGTTCGAGGCATTTGTTTAGTTACGTCATCTTGCTTTATGCCCCCTTTTTTATGATTGTCTTGTTTGTCCTGGCCCTGAAATTTTTGGATCCACTTCAAGGTCTTAGTCCTTGACCAGCAAATATTAAGCGAAGTGTATCTAGTTCTTCATTCTGCTTAGTAACTGCATGCTTCTCTATCACCAAACACATTGTAGTTGCTGTACTGTCTCGTCAATTGTGAACTGTGGTTGGAGTACGGAAGCATGATTTTGTGATAGCTACTTCGGTTCGTTGATATTTCTTACATTGTAGTCTTTTACAAATATTTCTCGATCACATTAGATTGTTAAAAGAGGTATGAATCCCCTGAGTAACCCATTCCAACTCACTACACTACCAATTTATTAAAAGAAGCGAAAGTGGACCCCACACTTCCAATACTGTCTCACTTTTGCAGTTTTCCTCCTTGTTAGGTTTTCTCCCCCCCAGTTTTGTTAATTTCTTTACTTTCATCAATATTCTCACTGTTCCAACGGAGGTACAAAAGAATTAACTAAACAAAATGGCGTATGGCAACCTTTGACGCAAATTAACTTTCTACAACTACGAAAAATGTGGAGAATGTCTATAAGTGGAATCACCAAATTACGAACAATTTATACTGTCCACTCTTGCGAAATGCTGCAACAGCCCCATACAAACTTGGAAAAGCTAAAAGCTGAGTATCTTACTTACTTGTAAATCCAAACTGGCTAACTACTCTTTGCATCCTGGCTACTTTCTGTTCGGTAATGCTCATTCATTAATTTGAATTGTATAGTTGTCAAATGATTTATCTGTCCATGTCAAAGTCGCATGTGAGTGTAGTTGCTGGCGTTGCAGAAAGGGAAACTGCATCAACAATATTTGTAACCACTTCCAAATTTCTGCTACTAGTACCAAGCTGACTACTAACTCCTCCAGCTAAATGTATGTACTACTTCGAAGTGGTTGCAAATCATGGTTTTTCTGCATGAGTCAATACATAATAAATTCGTACTATTTTTCAGTGTACAGGTTTTCAGTGCTCAAAACCAACAGGCATGGATTTTATACACGGGCACAGGTGACAATTCTCGTTGATGTACAGGACAATCCTTCGAGGAAGCAAAGAATATTGACGTTGAGGTAGCTTAAGTGAACATACAAATCAAAGATAACTTGAATTTGAAGCATTATAAAGCGAAAGGTTGAAGGTATCAAAACTCAAGAACTTGCAAGTCTAAGGACTCATGTGCCAGTTATCGTGTAAAAGAATATTCAGTTCTACAGTACTTCACGCTCATTTCTTGCTTCCGAAGTACTCCTTGAGGCGCCTTGATGCTTCCAGAATGTTCTCTCTGTGGCCAAAAGCACTTGCTCTGATGAACCCTTCTCCACCAGGCCCAAATCCACTTCCTGGTGTGGTAACGATGTGTGTTTGCTCCAAAATCTCTGAGAAAACATCCCATGAGCTCTTCCCTGGAAATTGTACCCACACGTAGGGAGCATTCTTCCCACCAAATGTCTTAAAACCCAACGACTCGAACGTTTCCACTAGTATTTTAGTGTTTTCCTTGTAGAATTTCACAGTTTCATGCATAGCCTGCAATATTACAAGCTACTAATCAGTGCCATGCCATAGTCTGACTGGACAGACCTCATAACAATCCTTAGCAAGCTCTGGCCGACCACTGGAATAACCAATTGAGACATGAACCAGAAATATTCCACGTCAAGCGGTTACAAATCAACAGATTGATGAGCTAAGTAGATAACGAGGCAAGGGCTCTACAGGTTGGTATATTACCTTGAGACCCTCAGAAGAGACACAGGCTAGGCCGCCTGCTTGCGCTACGTTGGATGCACCATTAAAGCACGTGGTCATGACACGATTGAAATCAGTATGCACTGGATGGCCATCAGCAAATTTAAGGGCCTTGGGCACTACTGTCCATCCCAACCGCACTCCCGTGAACCCGGCGTACTTGGAGAAGGAGGCAGTTTCGATGGCACACTGCACATGTTAAGAAGACAAACACTTGCTATCAACGGGATTACTTGGTCACCTAGACATAACGAATAGAACCTGGACCACCTAGATCACTCTAAGGCATAGATTTCTGCAAAGAGAATCACTTTTCAAGAAGCACAAATAGTACCTCCTTGGCACCAGGGATCTCGTAAATAGATTTAGGGCTGTCGTCAGAGGTATAGATAGCATAAGCTGAGTCGTATACGATAATGGATCCATTCTTTTTAGCGAAGGCCACAAGCTCTTCCAATTGCTTGCGAGAAGCTGACGCTCCGGTGGGGTTATTAGGGGAGCAGAAAAAGATGATATCTGTTCTTGGTGTTGAGGACAAGTCTGGAAAGAAGTCATTCTCAGGTGTGCACTTCATGTACTGAATCTTGCTGTACTGTTGAGAATCGGATTGAAACAGACCAGTTTGTCCCATCATGACACTTGTATCTACATAAGCCTGCAGTCCAGATTTGCGATCGAAAGTAGACTAGTCAGAATCATAAGCATTCTTACAAAGAGGCGTGGTAAGAACTTTCAGTATTTGATACTCTATGACTTGGATAAGGATATTGTAATAACAAGTTATATTGCAGCACAGAACAAACAAGATCAATCCACCTCTAAAACTGATCGAAACCTTCTAAGCCGAAAAATGTGAAGTAATGACAGATACCGGGTATGAAGGATCTTGCGCTGCCATTGTCACATTAGGTCCAAAGACAAGCTGCATACAAATAATAAAGGCTGTTGGGTGAATTCTTGTGTCTAGTCATAAGTGGTTAAGTAGCAAGAAGGAAGATGGGGGGCCTAAACCAGTATAGAATCAACGGTTGTTCAACATGATGTACAAAAGCAGGCGTTAAAACATGCAGTGGATGATTACTTTGAGGTCTAACATAAAATAATAACAACAGGTACCTGCAAACGCGTGATATCACATTTTGCTCCATCTGAGACAAAAATCTCAGTTTCATCAATTCCAAGGTCGGCATAAAATGCTGCACCAATACCCGCACGCAATGGCTGCAGAGTGCCACACATGAAGAGTTAAACCTTAAACCTCAGTAAGTTTTTTCAAAATAGCGCCATAAATGGTAAACTCGATGGAAGTAAATCTTACGAGATAAACCCAGAAAAAGAAGTTCAAACGACCTCCAAACACGTATCTATCACAGAACGCCAATAAAGCTGTCCTCAGAAGGAATTTATTTTTCTGTTCATGGCTAATGATTAGCTCACCTTTTCTCCTTGCTCGGCGCCGTATCCGCTGTAACCTTCAAGAGTAGACAGCGCTCGAGCCCTCTGGATGTCATCACCAAACTTCAATCGGATTACAACACGGGCAAAACCTACTCAAAGACGGACTATGTTTTCCCATTCACCACTATGACAATGTTTGACAAGTGAAATGTTTATCTTTTATTGGTTCAAAATCTGTGGCAGCACAGTTTCAACTTTACCGCTTCCATAGCTCCAGTGATAACTGTTGGGATTGGCTCAGTAGTGTCACCAATACCCAAGCTAATAACTTTAGCATCGGGGTACCGTTGAATGTGCGCGTTTCGCCTTCTCGCAATCTGTAGATTGAAATGTACGGTTAAAACCAAACAACTTGAGGACATAAAGGTCACCAATTTTTTCCCATCACAAATTGCATTATTCACGATGAGGTGAGTCATAGTAAACTCCTCGCCAGTACAAGCTAACGATGAAGCTTGACTGGTGAATTGAATCCTCACCTCAGGAAAGAGATAACCAGCCTGAAGCTTCGCGATATTCGCATTCCTATTTACTGACGTGGTGTAAGCTGGAACATTAACCCATGAACATGATCAAAAAAATACCTTTGAAAGATAACGGTTCCTTTGGAGAAATACGTTAATCAGGTGGATTACAAGGTCAAGGAATGCAGGAAAAATATCAGTGTAACAACCAGACGTCCAAAAACCTTACTTGTCTTTTCAGCGGGCTCCGCAATGCATCGAATTAAAGAAACAGATGCACCGCGTGTAACAGAGACCTTCGGAAGAAGCGAAGTTGCAGTGGAGAAGGAGACAGAGGAAGAGAGGTTTCGAGTAGCAGGTACAGTGCAGAGTCTCGCCGATGGAATAGACATTGCAGTAGTCATGGCGTCCATAGCTACACAAATGCTGCAATGATAACACCTGCAAAATCTGCAAGGGTTTAGGGCTTTCAGCACAAACTGAAAATCAAAATGTAGGCAAGGAACTAACGTGAAATGCAGCAGTCTCGAGTAGATTCTTTCGTGTAAAAAAACCATTCCAGACTCAGACAGAGGTGCTGATTTCTCGAGCCGCAAACCCTAAACCTAAAGTAGGAAAATTGGAACTGCCTACTATGAACACAAATTTTAATCCTGGATGCATTATGTGCCCTATGAGGCATTACACTTCTGTCCGGAAAGAAACTCTTTTCTTTTTAACACTTCAAGGTCAGTACTTTCGCCAAGTACAAATCCTTCAACAACAAGCAGAGAGCGTACGTTACAATAAACTTTCAACAATGTGGTTCATACCTTGGGTCCTCGGAGCACTGAGGAGTCACCGCAACAAAGAAATTTGATATGTCGGACCCAGACAGATAAGGGAGCTTGAAGCAAAAAGACGTTTATCCCCCCCCCCGAAGAAAAAAAACCCCAGGATCCGCTACGTTAATCTCAATTCGTGGAACGCTATGAGCCACTTGATTCCATACCCGATGGTTGTTATTACTGCTGATACCCGCTCAGAATGGTTCTCCTCATTGAACCGTAAACAAGATCTCTTTTTTGCTAAACGGGCTGTTCATATTGGAATTCGAGGTGCTCACTCTCGAGCAATCAGTTTAAGACTGGAATAGGGTGCTATAGAACATAGAGACACTGGCGACGAGCGGCAATGAAGCTCCCCCCTGTCTCACTGTGCGCAGGCGCAGGTACAGTGCTTGAAATTGGGAATGGAACAAGTATCTTCAGAATTCACACGTAACTGCGCCTGATTATGTGCTTGAAGCTTGAAGAATTAGGGTCCGCTCACGTTGGGAGATGATGCATGCATGCACATGATTGCGGTTGGGATGTTGTGCGAAGTTAGAAGCTCAGAGACCTACAAACTTCACCGTGATTGCAAGGAACTTTGATCTAGATTGATGGAAGCAGATATAATTACAGTAGTTTCTATTGGCGAAGTGATTGAGGAGCGGATAGGTCTGTCAAGTGTGGTTTTTGCTGCTCCTCCGATTTATGTATTATCCTCAGGTGTTCTTCACAGTGAGAATCGGAAGGGACGGGCGGAGAGTGGGACATGCTGAGGACACACAACCCATCGCCACTGGGCGTCTCCATCCTTAGTGAGGTCGATTTGCAGGAATTGGGGCAGAAAAGTGTTCTTCAGGAAAATGGCTGACTTCCCCACCGTGACAGTCCACACACGGAGCACTTCGTTGTGGGCTTCGCCGGACGCTGTCCAGTGCCGCAATGACAAGTATCCATTCAGGCAGCCAGCCTCCGAATAGGGAGTCTCATCGGTGTGTATTGGAGATTCATTATCGTCCGCGTTGTGGACGAAATCAAAAAATCGGCTCGTCACCAATGGAGGCGCCTTAGCCACCTCCACCCATTGCATTTCAGGGGTCAACCCCCACACGATGAGGTCGCGGCCCGAGGGGCTTTCATTGTTAACCTCAATGGTGAACAAGAAGATGGAATCATCGCACACGAGCAGTTTTTTGTGAGCCTGCAAGTCAAGCCGCGTTGCAGGAAGCGAACCAGTGGACACCTGAACCCAGCTCTCGTTACCAATATCAAACTCGAAGAGGCTGTAATCCGGGGCAAGAAAGATGAATCGCCCGCCACAGAAGACAGAGTAGCGATCCGCAGCAAGGAAGGAGGTAGGGGGTAACACCATCTTCCATCGCGCCGGCGCTTGGGTCTGCAAGGGAACGGATGTGTCACATAGCTCCGCGCATGTCAGCTTGAATCCACCATCATCACTGTCGAGGAAGTTCGTGGCGAGGATCTTCATAGCCCTTGTGACAGGATCGACTACCATACCCTGGATGACGCCCCAGCTCCTAAGTGGCGGCAGCTCATGCCATTGCTTCAGCACTGGGTCACACACCGCGACGCGTCCGTATGTTCCGAACTTGCGATAGCAGCGATCGCTCATGCACACAAGGTTACCATCGGCTGCGACTGCAAAGGGAAACCTGTTGTTGCTGTCCACAGGAAGTCGTATGGAATACCATTGCTCTCGCATGGGATTGTATGCCGAAAGCTTCCCCAAGTGAAGCCCGTCGGTGATCATGAGCAGCAAATCCTCAGCCACTGTATTGCCGTTCTGTGAGGCCGCTACTCGTGCCACAATTGAATCCCGCCATCGCTTGCACACCGTTGTGAAACGCAGCAAGCTTAGCATTGGAAGCCGCTCAAAAATTAACTCCATCAGCTCTCTTGGCAACCCCATCTTCGATTCCATGATTCTTGCGGTTTTTGTCGCTCGTCCCCCCTTCAATTTTTTCCTCACTCTACCGCCTTTGCTTCGCCACCCCCTCAAATACTTATTCTCCCTTTTCAACCCTACCTTCTTCAGACGCCTCTTGCGTTGGGTAAGCATGGTTCAAGAGCAATCCCCGTAGTCACCAATACCAAATGGTATGTGTAGAACTGCAACACTTCAGAATGTGAAGATGTTGCGAAAACAAAGTGTGAGAAGTGTTAACGGCGCTAGGTCGAAGGCACAGAACATACTATGGAATCGACTGAGCAGAAGGATTTGTGCAAGCGCTAATTTCAGCTATTTTACTGTCTGAAGTGGCACCGCAGATTGTTGCTGCAGTTCCATGTCGAATCAAAACTGTCTCGGATGCAACATTCTTCTATCTATTCCAACTATGTTTCCCCATTCCTCTTTCTGAATCTCACAATATGTTGTGTTTCAGAGACCAACCGCGAAATACAGCGTCTGCTTCTATCGCTGCCATGAGAATGTCAATTTTGGTTGAGCTGAGTGTGTTTCTTCTCTCAGCGTTGTAACGGCGATACAGTACCAGCGCATTTTCTAATGCAACAACGTGGAAGTTCCGACGTGTTGTGCGAAACCAATCCCAAATTTTGCAGGAAGAGAAGACCCATATACCGTTCAGGGAAACGGATGTTTTTGCACAAATTGAATTCCGAAGTTTTGCAAAATATTAAGATTAACCATGTCATCAATCGGCAAGAGAGCCTAATATCAGGTGGGTTATTGCAATGTGGGGAATCTGGGAGCATGGGGGGAGAAGGTGTGAGTGATGAGATGAGAATGATGAGAGAAGGGAGTGAAGAGACGCATCAAGGAGAGAAGGGAGGGCCTCTTCCACTCTCCTGCAAAATTAACTCTTTTGCATTCTCTCCGTAAACTAAACCCGTGAGCTCTACGAATTAGTCGATTTGCATCTAAACTCATAATACAAAAACAGCTTTAGTCTTAAATGCTGTCACCGCAAACATACAGACAGACTGTGAAGAAAGTGGACAGCCCAGACGATCTGTAAAGGGGAGCTGATGCGTCTTCGAAGTGAGCACAATCTTTTTGAGTTTGACAAACCAGTAATTGTACACTATTGTGGCATTATCGATAAAAATCCATACTGCAAGTGGAAACAAAGCATTGGGTATCATGCTCCACCGTTCTCAGCGTAAGTAACAGTTCAATGGGAAGAGTCGCTCACCGTGAAGTTGATGCACACTCACATTCCTAGTTGTTGTGTGTGGATTCTCTGCTTAGGTTGAGGCGATTCATGGCGTCCTTTATGTGAATTCGCCGATGATCGTACCGACGAACTGGCACCGATTGTTTTATAGTTGTCCTCGCTGTCGGTGAATGTTTACTATGTCAATGTGTTCATTCCACTGGCTGTTCTTCGTCGAAAGAATACATGAGGTTTGAGATCAAAGAGATGCATGTTTCAAAATTGGAAACTTGGTTTTTTTAATATGGGCATATTTATATAATAAGTAAGGATGGGAATGAAAATCATAGGGATAAACTATTGCTTCTATTTGCTACAAGGTTACCTGTACTTAAGCTTTTAATGGAACTGATTATGGGATTCATGGAAGTATTTTATTTGGAGTTTGAATGGAGAAGGAAATTTTACAAGCATGTTTTTATAGGAAAAAAATATATAATGTTTATTTTGAATAAAAATTGCAATACTGATGATATTTCCAATACGGTAGTAGATTTCAAAAAATTGTAAATTCCAAAAAAATGAAACGACTCAAATAATATTTATTTATTACTTCTTTGATTTTAGCTTACTTGTTGTTTTGTATGATTTGCACTAGCATCAATATATTCATATAAAGTATAGCATCAGTATACTTTAACAAAGTAGAAGAACAAAAACAAATTAAAAATAATCTAACTAACTTCACTTCTTTTGTTATAATAGAAATTTGTGCTAATTACTACCAACACCTCATTGTTCTTTTTTGTTGCATTATTACTAATGTTTAATATTATTTTATAATAAAAATATATAATCTCTTAAAACTTACTCAATTAACTACCTAGAAACTTAATATATATTTATTTTTTGTTTACTAACACTATGTCATATCTTTTCAATTGCAATATAGCTGCAACATAGTTTGATTCAATTAACAACAATTGCTTGACACTATGTAAGTTTGATTGATTAGACCTTTAGAGATATAATTTTTCCTTCACCTCAATGCAAGAGATACATATTGAAGCCTTTATAAAATCAGAATGTTTTGCAATTGATATATACATATAATTGATTGTACATAAATAAAATTTCAAAGAGATGATTAAAAACATAATTATTTATATAAAATTTATATATTTTTAATTTACAATATTTTATCAAAAAATAGATTTAATTTTTTTTGTATGAATATGTTTTTTATTTAAAATTTTAAGCAATTAAATTCAACATAATGAGAGAGTTTCTTATTTTTATATTTTGATTCTCTCAATATTATTATCATTTTTACTTTCATATATTTTAGTATTAAAGTTTTGTAACTTATCAATGTATATATATATATATATATATAATGACTTCCCAAGCTGATGAGAAAAATAAACTTTTTTCTGTATTTTGTTTGGTTATATTTCTTCTAAGGGAATTTTAGCCATTTTTCCACCACTGAAGCATTTTGTTGTAAACAACAGTACTTATTAATCGAACATCTCCTTTTGTATTGCTTTATAACACAGATTTTATTTTTATTTTTTATTTTTAAAAAATTGTGCAAAAGAATGCTACATATAGTTGGCTATGGAAGAAGAGATCTTTTGCTAGATTTAGCTCAACATACTTCATTGTCTATCTTTAAGATTTATTTATTATTATTATTATTATTATTATATAAGTAAATAACTATTATTTTTCACTCAAAGCATAATCAAAATTAAAATTTTGATAGTCAATGTGATTTCAAAAATGAAAGTAATGTGGTAAACAATATTCTTAATAAACACCTTGGCTTTAATGACTTAATTAGTAAAACATTTGACAATTATTTAACTTTTATTACAAGGCCATTGGCTAGATCAAGATTGTGTAGAAGCATCACATGTGTACCAACTTTTAGCAATAAGTAGATTATACTCTATTCAAATTATTTGTATCAAATTTACATAAATATTTTTTTTCCTACTTTCAACAAATAATTAAAATTATAGCTTTTTAGAAATTTAATTCTTAAAATATATAATTTTCAAAAATTAAGATTAATTAAAATTTCAAATTTGTCATAAATTGCATGGGTTATAATTTGACTTGTTATAGATTAAAAAATATTTACAAAAAAACAATCCAAATTTCATAATTTCAAAAACTATAAGTAAAATTTGAAAACCTCATGTTAGAACATTGATAATAAGTCTTATTGCAATTTGTTTGAGATGCAATCAATTATTTCAACCAATACATGATAACTCTCAAGCAATAGAATTGCTTGATTTTGCAAGCTATTTGAGAAATCTTTGCTCAAGTTCTCTTTACAATTTCATTCCTTTGCTCAACCATTTTTATACAAAGTGTAATTTTATCACATAACACTTCAAGACACCACAAAGTTCTCCAAGCCCATAATCCACAATCAAAACACACATGCCCCTAACAATGTCAAATGCTTGTACACATCCATCCCCTTATAAGACCATCCATCCATCCACCCCTCCGTTTATCAATCATGTCATCCATTCAGTTTTCATCCACACATTCATCAACGCATTTCATTCGTTCGTTCGTTCATAATTTCATCCACCTTTTCATTCAATAATCCATGCATCCATCTATTTATTCATTCATCTACATTCTACATTCTCCCAGCCTCGTTGGATTTCCAACTTGTAAGAGTCCCACCTTTTTACTTTTCTTCTTCTCATTCTTCTTCTCGCGGCCTCATACCCGCGAAGAGTGAAGCAACGATCCAACTGTTTAGGGTTTAGGGTTTAAGTAAGCGTGAGGGGGTCTAGTCTAGGGTCTTGGGTTCTCAAGCCCTCTCCCTCTGTTTTTCTGTCTGTATGTGCTTGCCTCGTCTTGTCTCGTCTCGTGCTACAGCTTCGTGCCAAGGGTTGCAATTCTCTGTGTGGGAAGGCAGGGCAGGCACTTGTCTGAGGTTTATCCACCTGGGACACGATGAAGAAAGAGAAGATGGAGCGTCTTACAAAATTGCAGGAGATGCAGGAGGAGGAGAGCGAGGACGGGGAGATGCAGGGCAGCGATGACGAGGACATGGATGAGGAGGAGCTCACTGGGCTTGCAGCCAAAAGTGCGTGGATTCTCTCGCGTGTGACTGTTGGATTTTTGCCAATTGGACGCAGGAATTGTTGCAGGGGTTGAATTGTAACGGTATTGTAGGGTTAGTTTGATGGTTATGGTGCTTTCTGAATGATTTGAGTTTGTGTACACGGGTTGTCTCCTTCTTATTCGAACAGTTCAGTTGAAGTGTTTGTAACTTTCAGTACTGTACTTTGTAGCTTCTTCACTGCAGCCTCCTTCTCAGAACACGTTTTGTTATGCTGGATTTGGCTGTTGTCGTGTTTCAGGCCCGTGAAACTATCATATTTTATTGCGTCCGATTTTACAGAAGTTCAGCTGACCTCTTAGAATCTGTAAAATTTCATAGACATTTCACGGGGTTTTCTAACTGCATTCTGGTCGCATAGGCTGCCTTCATCTATAATGCGGAAAATTTAAAATTTCGTATCATGCTATTAATTCATCGTTGCAGTTCAATTTTTGTGGGGAAAAGCTGCATTTGGTTGTGCTTATCAGTTCGACTTTGCGCTGTATAATGTTCTTGCCGATCGGGCGCATGAATTGCAGTAGTACAGTGTTAAGGTAGTTGAACAGATGCTGATGGTCATTCGTGGGTGATTTTGTTTGTGTCCGTTTTTGCAGTGGCTCGGCAAGCTAAGTTTATGAAGCAGAGAGTGGGCATGGAAGACGATGAAGACGATGAAGAAGAGGAGGAGAAGAAGAGTGCTGTGTGGGGAAAAGGGAAGAAAATTTATTACGGTGCAGATAATGTGGACTATGAGGTAAGAACTATCAATGCTGGTGAGTCGGTAGACCTCAAAGCTAAGGTTAATATGCAGTTTTTTTGACACTGGTAGTATCATATTACACACGTTTCAAGAAAATTTAAATCATTCTCTTCTTTCTGTATTTTTGTTTCAGCAATTCAAATGATGAATTAGTCTGTAAATCATATTTTTCTCCTTTATTCTCCTAGTTTAGTTGGAATTCGAATTATTTTTTTGGTTCGCATAACCTATAGCACAGTGGTTCGTGCAACCCTTTCGTATAGAACGCAAATTGTTCGAGGTGTATCGTTTAGAAGCTGAACTACAGTGGCCGGGTTGTGATAATATCAGCTTCAATCTAGTGATGAGGAGGCTCCTGCAGAGGAGGAAGAAGCAATGAAACAACTGCAGAAGGAGATAGCTGCAAAAATGCGCCCTGAAGACTATAACGATGATGATTCGGATGAAGAGGGGATCGAGGGCGAAGAATCTTTTGAGGTGATCTGATATGCAAGTTCATGATTATTTGTTTATAGGTATCCTCAAACTACGGTCTGAAGGTGTAGCCATGGTTGTATGTGTGCGCGGTATTTTATTTAGAAATTTCGTACACCTCTTTTCTTGGATTTCTATAGTCTCAACGATGTATAGATCCCCTAACCTACATGTCGACACAGGATGCTGCAAAAAAGGAGTCTCAACCAAAGAAAAAGAACAAAGTCGTAGATAAAATGGTCACAGACGGTACCATTGAACTCAAGAAAGATATAGCGGCACTGTCTAAAGAAGAGCAGATGGAGGTTTTAATGAGGTATGTATTTCATGGAAGTTGTTGGATTCCATGCCTTCACGTTTATGAACTCAAGCTCAAAATAACCCAGTTTGGGTTCTGAGACATAGTAGGTTTTTATGAACATCAACTTATACATGCATATATAACTCAGTTGACATGATTATGAATGACAGCGATGCTCCAGAGCTGGTGGGGTTAACGACAGAACTTCAGGATAATCTTAACGAGCTTCGGACAAAGGTGGCACCGTTGCTGGAAAAGGTATATGAATACAAGATCATCAGAAACATCAATGATTTTTAACATGTTCTTCTTCAAAGGTTGGAGAAATTTGTTCTGCGTGAATGCTTCCGCTCTGATCTTGGTAGCGGTTCTTAATTGATGATGAAGGTGAGGGGAAGAAAAGGAGCAACCGAAGAAGGACTTAATTATTTGGAACTGAAGCACATGCTACTTCTAAGTTACTGCCAAGCCATTGTTTTTTACTTATTGTTAAAAGCTGAGGGACAATCTGTTAAAGACCATCCCGTTGTTGGCCGCTTGGTTGACCTAAAATTGTCATTAGAAAGGGTGAGTGTTCTCCTCAACGTCTAATTAGATTTAGTTCAGCTCCGTGATTTTAGTCCAAATTTTCTCTTGGTCTGTTCCAGTTGTAATTTTATACTTTGAGTTGGGAGTTTAATAGTCTACCGGTTAGCAGTTTGCCATGCCTGGAGACATAGATATTTAAGTTGCTCTGCGTTAGTAGTAAACTTTACTTCTTATGATGTTTTTTCGTGTTCAACATAGTGTTTGGTGTATGGTATCCCATTGGGTGCTTGGAATGCAGAAATCACTGGTATAATGATTCTATGTCCTTTTGACAGCTCCGTCCGATCGAGGAAAAATTGCAGAAGCAGATAGAGAAATTGCTAAACTCAGACTTGATCGAGGCTGATGAAGAAGAAACAGAGGCCAATGTACCTCTTTACACCTTTCTCCTATTTTAAGCAATTATGCAGTGCTTCAGTTGGGACCTTGTTTTGGTATGAAGGAATGTAAAAGAAGTTTTCGTGCCTTATTTTCCTCATTTGTAGTGGTTTTAATAATTTCCAGGAAAAACGCGAGAATTCTAAAGCTTCGAAGAAAGCATCTAGTGAAGGGAAATCAAAGAATCGTAAAGCTGCCATTGAGGAGACCGGGAATGGAACAAATGGTCATGTTGAGGAGGTCAGATGTTATGAATTGCTGAAGCATCAGGTTCCTTTCTATTTAGCAAGTCTGGTAGTTAGATTTAGAGGATATATCCAATTGATTGCAACGAGATACGTGAAGATGTCAAGAACCCAAGTGCTTTATCTATTGCATGCTCAGTGCCAGAGTATGAATATGATTGTGTTTTCTTTGGTTTTAGGGGATTCCTACTTGTTATTGGATGTGTGTGATTAATAGTAGTCGATTGCCAGCACTAAAAATTGGTTCCTGGTTAAGCAGGCAGATAATATGTTGGGAATTGTGAGTAAACAAATGTTGGAAGAGAGGTCTCGCTTGGATGCTCGTACACAAGAAGGGAGGCATGTTGCCCATGTACCCGTATCAAATGCAGAGCGTAAAAAAGCTAAGCGCCTTAAGGCTAGCACTGGGTGAGTTTTTTTTCTCAAGAACTTGGTTTGAATTCGGCTTTGATGTTTCAAATCATTGTTCAACATTTATGTGGGTAAATCAGAGACTCACTGGCCTTTCGAAATTGATTTGGTGTAGTTCTCTTACTTAGACTTCGTTCTCTCAGCCGTGTGCACAGTATTCTTGACGGAAGTTGTTTTCTGATTGACCGTTACACCGCATTGAATATTCTAGGACAAATGACTCTTCTGCTTATTTGCATTTCGAACTGGTTCTGCTCTTGGCAGGATGACAGGAACGGGTGATGATTTTGAGGATGTTGTGGACAACGATTCTGGAGTGTCGAATGGACTTCTTAATGCGAAGCCACGGTCACTTTCACAAGTCATCGCTCAAGCTGGTAGACCTTTTAAGAAACCGCAGGTATTAAATGGAGGACGATGTCGAAACTTAATTACTTATCGCAAAAGCCATGAAATCTGAATTCATCAGAGGGCATTCCTGTTGAACACAGCTGAATTGGCGAGTTCTTTTTATTGGTCTTTTGAAATCGGTTGCAATTGTCATACCAATCCAAGTCAGTGATGAATACTAAGGCAAACAATTTGCTTTTTGTACAGATTATTTCTGGTGATGCTGATTTACCAGTCAGGGAAGAATTAGGAGATCGAAGGAGAAAACTTGAAATTCAGAAAACTAACAAAAAGATAGCCATGCATGACTCTGATGACCATGAAAGCAATGGAAGAGCCAGTTCTATAGAGCCAGAAGAAGATGAATTCTATAAGCAAGCTAAATTGCTCAAGGAGGCCAAACAAGCTGCTAAAGATTCAAAATATTCAAGGTCAGTAAAAAAGTTATACTGTCAAACTTTCGTCTTTCTCAGGCTCAGCGCATCACCTGCTTTCTTGCGTGCGAGGTTTGTATTCAGTCCTTAGGTTTGTGTGGGCAACAAGTTTGCTCTTCATGGCTGTTATTCAAATCTTGGTCACCATTCTTTTTAGCAATTATTTAATATGAGTTTGAATTTCATGTGGTTTCTGGTTTTACCCCTGAATTCATAATGTTATGTGATTACAGAACGCTTCTGGTTCCCGTTGAAGAAGAAGACGCTGAGGGAAAACGGAGCATTACTTGGCAGGTAATTGCGGAGCGTTGCTTGGATGTTCGAGAGGCTTATTACTTTGCTTTATTGTATACATCGTTGACTTCAGTGGGCATTTCCTCTCGACTACACGAAATTACTCGCGCCACATCTTCTCGAATTACCCATGAGGCATCCTTTGCCTGTCACGCAAATCTCCCTGAAAGCTGAATTTGGCTTTATTGTGTCCACGCAGATGGAGAAGAATAGAGGGCTTACGCCTCATCGTAAGAAAGCTAATAAGAATCCTCGCAAGAAATACAAGGTCAGTGCCCTTAACACTGTGGGATACTACTGTTGTAATCCCATTTCACACTGTTGTATCTTTCTTAATATCTTGTCTTTCCACCTATCAGCTTCTCATTTACATTTACTTCCCGTTTTGGTAAGAACGTATGCTATTCTTTTTACAATCCTTATATGATTATGTTTTCCAATATAGTAAGAGCCTAATGCCGTGTGTGCATGCTTGTCAAATTTTAAACAACTTGGGTACTGCTTTTATTTGTGTTGGGAACTCACGGAAATGAGAATGTTGTGCGATAGACTGTGTCTCCCTTTTTGAGTATTGGATATCTTCTTAATTTAATGCATTTTATTTTTGTGCATTTCAGCTTAAGCATGAGAAGGCAGTCATTCGTCGGAAAGGTCAAGTACGTGAAATGCGACAAGCTACATCGAACTATGGTGGTGAATCTACCGGTATTAGAACCAACATCAGTCGGAGTGTTCGGTTTAAAAACTAAACTTTTAGTCAATTATTGTAAGGGCAAACAAAATTATAAGCTGCTTATTTCTATGGCTTCCTTTCGAGATCTTCAGCGGGTCTCCCGGTGCAACCTTGGTGTTACCCATTTTATGAGGATATTTAGAGTGTACCTTTTAGCTCCCGGATACGAACAACCAGTTTTGCGCACTCTGAACCGGTTGTACCATTATGTAAGACGGCTGGTATAGGGCTTGTGGCACCTTGCGAGTGGCATGGTCAGCTCTACCTCCCCAACCAGCTCCACCCTTTCGCGCTACTGAAAGCGCAATGAAGTGCGCTCTGCTTTTCCTCGTGTCCCTTCCTGGCCATCATCATATGATTTGCTTGGTCTAATGTGGACTCCCTGTAAATGAAATTCTGATAAGATCCATCCTCGTAATTCCTCGATCAAGTAGGTCATCGAGAGGACCTTCTCGAGCTACGCGACTTTAATACGATAAATTTTGTGTAATCAATCGCTCTAAAGTCAAAATTCCAACTATTCATTTACATTTTTATTTACAGCACAGTATAAAATTTGTACACTCAAAAGTTTTAAGGAGCAATAATCTTTCTAGTTTTTTTACAGTAATTACTACTAGAAATAACATTATGTAGCATATCTTTTCACATCTGATTAATTTGAGAATCATTTAAAAACATCAACATCAGTGATTGAGATGAAGACTTCAAATGTGAAAAGCCTAATCTACCTTCAGTTCTATTTACACAATTAATTTAGCAATATATGTAAATCAACCCGAAATCTCATCACCGAAATTTTAAAACCTAAATGTATGTACATGTAAGATAAAAATAGAAATAAATTCAAAATTCGAAATTTTGTTATAATACGGTTAAGATTTCATGATTATCAGTTTCTATTTTCAAAGAAATGATATTACAAATAAACTCTCATTATGCCATGAACGTAAATTTGTGTATCCAGAATAAAAACCTATGACGTCATTTATATATAAATATGAGATAAAAGCCTTTCCTTGTGTTCAAGAAGAACATCGATAGACACGCAGTTCATATGTCAAAAATTTCTTCCTGGGAGGAGACTAATCCTCCACTCTGGCTTCAAGACAGAGTTCTATAATTGTGTATCTGACATGCAGCTGTCTTGCTTTGATATCTTGCTAGCATCTGTGAAATTCTTGTGTAGGAGATAGTTGACCTACTTCTCATGAGTGCAAACGTTTAAAATAAGATATGTAGGATATAAGCCTACTGTGTGAAGTACAAGTCAACGCAAACTTCATGTAATCTTCCTGCAACCCTTAACATCTCCAAGTCTCACCCTGCACAGATCACTTCGGTTCTGCTTGCAGTCAATGAAGAATCAAAGGTATAAACACCATGAATTTGTAACTGTCGGATTCGAGAGGTACTCGGGTGACTTGGAAAATAACAAATTTCTATGTAGATCCCGGTCAGCGTGTAAAGGCACATGCTGAATGCGAAATCGGTGAATAAAGTCGGACACCGAGATCTTGCACTTGAAGGGGGGGTTCTTCACGCATTCACTGTGATGCATCCATTATTCATAAATATGAGAGTCCTACATTCGAAGCTTTGCACGTGAGAGTTCCGGCAAGTTCCATGGCTCCTTAAGGCACAGATGCCTCTAAGAGTGGTAATTTCTGGGATACCCGCAAGTGGCTGGGCTTCTGTGAAATGAGCAATTTTCGGTCCCAAGTGATCAACCAACAAGTGTTCACTGTATAGCTTAGATCTGGGAGTGCTGTTGTATTTCACAGCGTCAATAACCTTCTCGGCTTCACGCAAGTACAAATTGTTTCGAAACTAGACCCACCCAGATATTAACATAAGGAGGAACTATTGGGCCGGGCAAAAAAAACACGAGTGCCAATTTCCAGCTGATATCGCAGTTACTTTGTGTATCACAGATGTTACAGGATGACAGAAGCATCGGCAATACATATATCCGTGGCTCTTTCCTAAAAAGTCACATTACCAAGCACTTCCATGATCCACCCTTGACGCTACTATTGACCCTCGAACACAGAGGCTCTTTCTCATCACCTGCAAGCACCTTATCCTGCCAAAGAATACTCAGAATTGAGATAAATTGACGCGGCCAACATCAATAAGATACACATGTGCATTTAGTAGCACTGTACTTATACCAGGGGGTCGCTCAGCAACACTGGAAACCCTAATGAGGGATATGAACCACAAACTATCGCCCACGTCCACGCCCTCTGCCACGACCGCGCCCTCTTCCCCTTCCAACGGGTTTGCCTGCATACGATATTCACCGTTGTAAGACAGTATACACGATGCATAACTACATAAAAAATGTAAATATAATAAGACAAAGTCTTGAGTACATAATCAATACAACATCAAGACTCAGTCTTAGCTTAATACACAACGTGCTGGGATACAATGTAACAATTCTAGTAAAGCCAAGGAATAAAAAAAGAGTACTAGATAAGACTTCTGACTCAAAGGGTTTAACAAAGAGACCTGCAACAGGTTTCTTGACTTTCACGCGCGGTGTATCGTCAACAAGAAGCGTGTCAAGATTCAAGCTGTCAGGCAAGATATAATATCGAATGTTGTTGCCGCGGACACTGAGATGGTCGAGAGCCACAGGAACCTTTCCCTTCAAAGTGAGCTTCACAGACTTCAAATGCGTATTCATGCTGATATCTACACCTGCGAAAACGAAGTAATAACATCAACGACTCGCCATCGTTTTCGCCAGAAAGCTATGTTTATTACAGAATTCCGCATTTTTCGTACAGTAGCCAAGCTGAATACATTTTATGTCGCTTTTTTAGTAGGAAACTTCGGCATATCCAGCTAGAGTAGAAACTACAGAATGACAACGACCAAACATCGAGGTAATACTTAAAAGAAAAACTAACTGCGTAAGAATCCCTTCATGAGAGACCCTTTACAATATTCCATGGATACCAGGGTTAGCTATCCGTAAACTCCTTCAAACTTCAAAACTGGAAAGGAAAGAAAACGGGGAAGAGGGATACACCAGAAATTCAAAATGCTCTGCTAAGCGCAGACATTGTAACTGGGAGCCGAGTCACCCAATCCCAGGAGAAATTATTAAATAAGGGCGAAATCGAATATGTCTCAGACCTACCTCACCGTGATGTAGAATTAGGGTAAGAAAAAGACGCCATACTAACTTTGAACACATACCTGTGATAGTACCGTGCACAATGGTTCCATTCTTGAGCTCTATCGATACCGTCTCATTGTTCAGTTTCATCAAAAATCTGAAGCCACTCACCCACACAGACTCATCAGGGTCCAGCTATCGTCACTCCCACAACAATTCCACACAAGACTGCCGGAACCAAAACTCCACATTGAAATTCACCCGCAGCCAGCACCTTCATGTAAGTACTCGCATTGTACAATTCACGAGTGAAATCCTAAAACACTAACCCTAAACCAAGAGATGGAACCCAAAAGAACGCGAGGAGAGGAGGGAGCGGCACCTGACGAGCTTCATTGTGACTGATACTTGCTGAACCTGCTGCTAAGCTTAAAAAATGAAAATTGGCCGCTGGTGAGGGATAGCACCGAAGTAGTAAACAACTTGCATCCGAGGAATTGCAACAATCGGCCAGCAAATCCGTCGGCAACCAAGCTCAGCTGCAGCAAACTTGGTTGCAGCGGACTTGGCCTTCATCTTGGCGGTACCGGCGAACGGGTCGGGTCGTGCAAAGCCGGGGGGGGGTGATACCAGATCCCGGTAAAACTTTGGATGAAACTTTATACTTTTTGATTAGTTTGATATTTAATCTCAGGATATAATAAGTTTAAAAACTAGAACAATGATAAACATTCATCCAGATCAGCGTTGGTGCAATTTCCGTCCGCCTCCGTCTATCCTTGTTCGCCTTCGTCCATCTGTGTACGTCTCCTTTCCAAAGCCCTAAACCATTGTACAGAGAAAGAGATTGCTGATCTCCATGGCCGACCTGCGCTTTCACCTCGCTCGTTCGATGCGATTGTGCGCCTTGCAAGCATAATTTCCTCCCCGGGCGATGGTTTGATTGTGCGCTTCCTTCAGATGTTGAAGTTCTAGTCTCTGCCTTATTGAAATGGCGAATGTGAGGAAAAGAACACAGCCTAATGCGCGGAAGGACAGGGGCAAGAAGCGTAAGGTAAAGGAGGTCGGAGAGAAGAGAGATGGAGGCTCGGTTAGGAAACCCAGAAGAGATGAGGAAATATCTAGCGAGGAAGAGGAGGAGCGTATCGGAAATGAGGGGGAGGCGTTTTTTTCCGAGGAGGAAGAAGAGGAAGTGGATTTAGAAACAGCTGATGAGAAGAGGTTGAGAATTGCTAAAGCTTACCTTGATCGCACTCGACAAGCTGCAGCGGACGCCGAGGTACCTGGTCCCTCCCGCTTGTGTTCAAATTTTGTTCTGCTGTGTTGTGTGCACTTGGTTCCATGATTAGCATTCTCTCTTGTCTCTGAGTGTTTGAATTTTGGCAGCCTTACCTACGTCTACATGTGTGTAAACATTATGCTGGGCCTTGCTCCGTTTGAAACAAGTTACTTCTTGCAATGAGTGCCAGAATGAGGAATGTAAATACGTGATATTTTTGGAAGTTAGTTTGCTGAGGATTGGCAGGATAACGTTCATTCTTACTATTGTGTGTTAGGGATTTCTGCGACCCCCTCAATATTGGTTATTTGAACTTTAGTTCACAGTAGAGTGCAGTGTTGTACCACATTTCGGTCAATCAAGAAGCGAGCCAATATGACTTGTGTTTGCTTTTTGTAGGATGATGAAGATGACGAGACGGCAGACCAGCGTATGGGAGCTCGTGATAGCATGGTCGCAGATTTATTGCAACAGGAGCAGCTTGAAGAGAGTGGCCGTGTGCAGCGTAAGATAGCTTCAAGGTAATTTATCAGCTCATTTTGATTACTTGAGGATGATATGAGCTGTTCGTTTTTTAACACATAGACCGATGCTTTTACCCATTTGCAACAGCTTAGTATTGGAATTGGTTCAATTTTCGAATTTTCAATATTCAATGTGCGGTTTACTTGATTGATTCAACTGTATGCTCATTTCCTTTATTATCCCATTCTATTATTGACGTTGTTTGGGTGTTCCCTGTGCTTCAGAGTTGTTCAACCAACTGCTATCCCTGAAGGTAAAGCAGTGGGCCGGAGGCATCGGCAGTCAGTGACGGCTATTTGTATCACGGATGATGACACATTAGGGTTTTCTGCTTCTAAAGACGGAATGATAATTCAATGGAATATCGAAACTGAGCAAAGTGATAAGTATCAGTTGCCTGGCGATAATGTAGCCCCTTCTACTGCCAACGGTGGTCTCGTACAAGGAAGTACAATAAAAAAAACTGACAAGAAGGGTAGTAGACATATACTTTCGTTGGCCGTGAGTTCCGATGGTCGATACTTGGCTTCAGGAGGTCTAGATCGAGCTATACATCTTTGGGACATTCGTTCGCGCCAACATATTCAGGTAACATCTTGTCTCTTGGGCCGTCCAATTACCTTTTTCAACAATATAAATAGGGGCCTATTAGTCTAAGTTTGGGTAACAGAGGCGCGTTCGTGGAAAGGACAATTCATACCATCATTTCCGAGGAATTGGTTATTAAGACTTCCATGTTAAAATTGAGGGCATATGTTGGTTGTGTTAATTGATTGTCACTAGAATGTGATGTTTCATCTTTACAGCTGTGGTAAACATGGCATCGTTTCATTTTCAACGTAAACTAGTATCCTCAACTCCATGTCCAGGGACATCAATTTGTTTTCTGTAGGGTTTTGGGTAATTATGCAGCTTTTTCCTGATCACTGTGGAGAATTTGTCTTATGTGTACAGGCTTTTAATGGCCACAGAGGTGCTGTCACGGGATTGGCATTTAGGCAGGGCACGCAGCAGCTTATGTCAAGTTCCTTGGATCGTACCGTCAAGTTATGGAGTGTGGAAGACCGTTCGTACATTGACACTCTATATGGACACCAAAGCGATGTGATTGCAATCGATTGTCTTCGCCAGGAGCGCATTCTTTCCGTAGGACGTGACCGCACTCTTAGACTCTGGAAGGTGCAGTCCTAGGCCCACATAAGTTTAGTCTCGAGTAGATTGTGGTGGTTAATGACATTGAGTTCTTGCCTTTTTAACTTTTCAAGTGGTGTGTAATTTATGGGCATTGTTTATGTGGTTTTCAAATCTCCGCTTGCGTCGTTTATATTGTGACAAATATTTGTTATATGAATCCAATTGTTATAGGTTTAGAATGAACATCTCGTTACTTAAAATTGGAAGTTTGATTTGTTGGATTATTTACCTCTTCTCAGTGACACCGGTGTGGTTTGTATGACAGATTCCGGAGGAGTCGCAACTTGTGTTTAGGGGTCACAATGCTCACCTTGAAAGCTGTTGTTTTATTACAAATGGGGAGTTTTTATCTGGTTCAGATGATGGTTGTGTGGCTTTATGGAGCACATTGAAGAAAAAGCCAGTGTACATAGCTCATGGCGCGCATGGGAGTACAGAGAAATATCACTTGAGTTTACATACAGATCAGTCCAGTTCATTAGATTTGGCGAACGGAAATGGAAATGGAAACGGTGAGTCTGACTATTTGCAACCCATAGTTCGTTTTGTTCTATTGTTTTTGTTCTCATAATTTTAGCTATTGGAACTCTGATTGTGATTTTTCAAACGACAGATATAAATGCTGGTTGTCCTAGTTTTCGGATAATGAGTATTATGCAATAATATTCATGGCGTAAAGCATGTGTTGAATTTCCTATTGCAGTCTATTAATTTTGACTGAAACGAACGTGTCATGGACGCAGGTCATGTTGAGGAGCACTCTGTCTCCACTGGGACTCGTGGTGCAGAGTCCTGGGTAGGAGCAGTAGCAGTATGTAGAGCTAGTGACTTAGCTGCGTCTGGAGCAGGGGATGGTAGCATTCAACTCTGGGCTCTTAAAGATACGAACCGCATTCTTGAACCTCTCCACAAGTTGCCAGTGGTAATTTACTCCACATTGTTGCGATTTTATATTACAACTGTCTACTGTGGATATGTATTCTGGTTTTCATTCTTTTGCTCCACATATGCTTATTCAGCTCGTTAGAGCCATCTGTCAGAACTGAGTATCAATATGTTGCACCTTGCAGAAAGGGTTCGTCAATTCTTTGGCATTTGCACATAGCGGCCGTTTCCTGCTTGCGGGTACTGGTCAGGTATGTCAGCTTCTTCGCCTGGAATCTTTCTTCGAGTCCTGTCTACTTTCTCAACATTAGGTGCTCTTCTACTTCTCTGCTTTAGATAATCTTACTGAAGTTGTCACAGCAATTAAAGGTAAATCAGGGGACTCTGAGCAAGTCATAAGTTTCTACGTGGCATTGCAGACGTTTCCAACGTGATGTGCGGGTATAATACGCTTTATGTGAACTTGAAAAAGCGTTGCTAATTATTCTTTAATTTCAACCGCAGGAACCTCGAATGGGCAGATGGGGCCGGGATCCAGCTGGAAGAAATGGAGTTATCATGCATTCTATCGAGTTATCATGATTTGTCCAACTGTACTTGTGGCAGTTGCTGTGACCAAACGTAAGTACGTCTATGCCAGGTTTTCCTGCCGGAGCTAGTCGGTCGTATGTAGTTACCTCACAATTTTTGTCTGAGAAATGTACACAAATCACAGATTTATTTAGTTTTATTTTTCAGTCATCGGGAATGCTAGAGAGTAGACAGCTGAGATTATCTGTTCTAGAATCGCAACAGCTCAGCCGAGGATTCTTTTAATTATTAAATTATTGATTTCTTTGCTCATAGTTTATCACAAGTTTGCATCTGAGAATTTATTGCAGCCATGCTATTTAAGTAGCTGTTATTTATTTCTTTTCCGTTGGTTTTGTCTACTAAATTGGTAAATTGTCATGAATGATGCATGTTCCTTTGATAGGAATTTTTGTATATTTAATTATCACTTAAAGAGCAAAAATTGTTTCACATGATTTCAATGAATTTGAAAAATTTAACTTCATGGTAGTTAAACATAATGGATTCAAGAAATGCCATCTATTTAATTTTGTACATGACAACATTCCAAAATATGAAAAAAAAATATATATATATATATATGTAGTTGCAATTTGCAACAACATGATAGCATGTAATTTGCATACCATTTAAAGCTTAGAGAACCTAAGAACCTAAGTCTTTTAAAAGAAATTGATTCATTTAAAACTTTGCAAGATTAGATTTTATACAGAAAATTATTAATGGATAGACACTTTGATTAGAATGTAATCCAACATATAAAAACTCAAGTGAAATGAATGTGAAAGCAAAAAAATTCACAAACAGTATTGTACAACTTAAAAAATGTACAAGACTTTTTTAAAAATTAATTTTTTTAACACAAAATGAAATTTCACATAAATTGATTAACAGAGATGATTTTAAATTCTTTAAGAGTTATTGATGTTTAAAAAAAAAAAAATCTAAATTTGTACAAAAGTAGTGGTTAGTTCTTTTGAAAATTTATACAAATTAAATGTTATTGTATATATATATATATATATATTAGGTCTATTATAAACTTTAAAATTTAATTGATTTATAATTCTATACCCACATTTTATTACAAGTTTAATTAAGACTAATAACCCTCAAATATAAAATTCAATTGGTTTAATCTTTAAATTTATATTTCTTAAAGATCAGTTGATTAAAAAAGAATCAAAATAGTTGTTTACAAATAATGGTTAACATATTCAAAGCACTAATTCAAAACTCTTTTTCCTCCAAAAGAACCAACTCAAACAACAGTTAGTATTCACTCCTATTTATAATTACAATTTTTGCCTTGGATGCAAACATGTATCAATTTTTATACTATTAGAAATTATTTTGATTTTGGATGCATATGAGAAAGAGTTAAGGTGAGAAGTTACATTGAATTTTTTTACCAAGAATAGAAAATCTAACATGAAAGCACCATAGTAGAATTCATCAAAGGATATATCTTTCTAAGGGGGTTTATTTGATTTTAAGAGAATTTGATAAGTTAGCATGAGGGTTAGGTTGAAATTGTATAAGCTCCATCTTTCTCTTGTAGTTTTAGTAAAAACAATGTGTTTGTAACTATTGCCATTAAAGAAAGTGTTGACAATACAAGTAGGTTGTATATAAGAAAGAATATGAGGTCAAACACTTAATCTTATATGCACAAGTGAGAAGCATGTTGTACATTGTGAAAAATACATTTGATATATTAGATTAAGGATTGCCTCAATTGACTAACTTAATGAAGTTTGATAACATAGAAGTTAATAGTATGAGTCTTTATAATGAAAGAATTTAAGGTTGAATTGTAAAATGTGATAAAATAACCACATTTTTTTTATTTTTTATTTTTTATTTTTTTTGCAAGAGTTGATAGGATGTATTGAATGTGGTGCAAGGCGTAATCTAATAAACTATTATAGTGTTGCAATTTATAATGAAATAATGTAAAACAAAAATAAATAAATAAATAAATAAATAAATAAAAATGATTTATAAGAAATATCATAGAAATTATAAACAACTTAAATTGGAAAAATTTACTACTTAGGATTGGTTTAACTCCTTAATAATAGTACTTGAATTTTGGTGCTTGTTCTTTTAGATGAAATTTATGATATAAAAGATACAAGATTAAAAAAAAGTTTTGGTTACAAAACAACAATACATTTGTTTCTATATTGTGTCAATTTTTAAGAATATTAATGTCATAAAAAAAATTGAAATTATTTTTGGAAGTATAGCCTCTAATACAAGGTAGATAGACAAAGTTATTAGAGAATATAAAATTTGAAAGAAAATTCTCTAATAATATAAATTTAAATTTAAAAATATAAACTGCAATAAAGAGTTATTTTTGTCAATATTAAAATTATAATTACTTGCAATAGATTAATACATTTATTTTTTTAGACTTGATTTTTAAAGACATGAGTTTTGGAAGTCAAGGGAAAGATAAAATTATTCAAAAAAAAAATTCTAGTAAAAGAATTATATACATACATACATACATACATACATACATACATACATACATACATATTAATTATAAGTAGACTAAATAATTACATTAGAAAAGCTTATTTTTTATTATTAGATATTATAAATGGATTTTATTGTATATCTTGTGTATTATAATATAAAATTTAAATACCTATATATAACATGAAAAACTTTTTATTTTATGTACCAAATATTGTTAAATGAAAAAATAAGTCATTTTACATGGTTTTTCTATTTAACAATATTTGGTACTTAATATCAAAGGTTTTTCATGTTGTACATAGGTATTTACAAGTTGTATTCTTATTTGTGGTACAAAAAAATATTTTAGTAATTTTTCATTTGTAAAGTTTTTGATATGTTATAAAAATCACAAAAAGCACAAAAATAATTTAAAACAAATTTAATGAGAATATAATCGATTTGTATTTTTTATTCAAAAAAAATTGTAAGTTTAATTAAAAAATATATATTTTTTTAAGATCATTGTATGTACATATTAATTTTTTAAAATCAGCTTATGATAGAAAGGTATATATAAACACTAAAATGTAGAAATATTTAGATAGATGCTTTAGTAATAATGAGCATTTCTAGTTAATAGTGTTTTTTTCATTACTAATTACAATTAGATTATTTAAGCATCTCTAATTATCATAAGTAAATTTTTCTTTTAATGTGTAGCATGCATTCATAAGAATAATAGTCTTACAATACATTAGTATACTAGGAAGATGATTTTAAAGCCTATAAAATTTATAAATTTAACTACATAATAAGAAACATAACATAGATGTTGTATATTAGATTAAGATATGTCACATTTTGTACAAATTATTGTTGCATGATAATTATGATTAATTTTAGAATAATATAAATTATAAGTTTAATATTATAAAAAGTGGCTAAAATCCTAAAGTTAATTTACAAAATATACTAGATAAAAAAAAAAAAAAAAAAAAAAATGTAATAGAAAGGAGGGATTTCTTTTCTATTATTCTTTTGTATAAAAACTAACATTGATGTAAATTTCTTTGGATTAATTTTCTCAAAATTTTAGTTAATCAATTATTACATTCTTTTTTATATTTTTTTATATTTTTTCTAATTAGTCTAATAATATGAATAACTATTATATGCTAGCTTTTGTAGCATTAAAAATCTAAATAAATATGATTATATATATACAAAATCTAAAATCTGTATTTCTAAATTACATCCATTTGTATGAGAGCTCGTTTAGTAAAAAAAAAAAGAAAAAAGAAAGAAAAAAAAAAAGAAGTTAGGTAGTTTTGATACATTTGAAAAACTAACAACTTAAGAAGTTTTTTTTAGATATTTATGTAAATTTGATCCATATTTAGAAAAGATGCTCTTCAAATTAGAAAAAAAAATAATTTAAATTCATTTAGTAGAAGCATACTTACAAGAAAGAGTAAAAATTAAGTCTTAGTCAACTTCAATAGATTTGTAATCATTGAAAACAAAAAAAACATTGCCAAAATTCATCCTACACTTCTCTATAAAATTATGAAGACAACAATAAAATATTTGTAGTTAGGACAATAAGAACTCAATAAAAATATTGATATTTTTTAAAGAAGAAGAAATAAAAAAAATAAAAAAATAATGTAGTAATTATTATTTATTAAACTCAATATTTAAAAATCAATAAATGAATAACCACATTTTGTAACATTTTGTAACATATTTCAAATTGTGGTTAAAGAGTTCTAATACATGCACGATTTTAATTGTTAATGAACATTATAAGGTTTGGAAGATATGAATGTCACACACAATTTACTTATACTTTCACACATTAGTACAAAAGTTAGTCAAAAAAATAAATAAATAAATAAATAAATAACTTCCTCTATTTGATCTAAACTACAATACTTATCTAGAATGTTCAAAATGTTGTATACACACACACACAAAATTTAAAAGGCTGAGGCTACAAGCACACCCTAACTTGCTACAAGCACACCTAATTTTATATGTGCACACCCAAAACACGTGGAGCGTTATAATGAGGATCTTGCTCGGGCGTTGCCTTTAATAGTAGGATGTGAGAAGTTGTTCTGATCTGCAGCACGACACATTTTTTAAAACTTTTTGCAGTGGAATAACACACAAAGCAAACTGCTCGTCAATAAGTTCACACATGTAGCTAGTACATCAATACCTCCCAACACCCTTCGCAACAACCTTTCTGCTTTAGGCCAAAGTCGCTTGATGCAAGTCGATATGCCGAAGTGGGTCCATATGCCGAAGTTTTAATTTTCTCTATGTCATGAACGCGCTCTCACACTTTGATCGACAACGTGATAGTTCGATGCTAGTGTTGATCTCTACGATGAGAGGTTTGTATGTATTGGCTTCTGCCAAGTAGTTTCCGACCGAGTAGTAGTCATGTTTTGTTTTTAGCTCCAAGCTGACTTTCAGGACATGCAACACGCCCTTTCCAACTGCGGATGTATTCAAATCTTTCCTACCCTTGATCCTCACGGGAAACAAATCTGGGCACTCCCACATTCCTGTTGTGGGATCCTCGTGTAGACGGTTGGAGAAACTCCATGTCTGGAAGTCCATGCTCTTGTACAGAAGCGCAGTCCCTATTAGACCTCCCTCGCCGGCGTTTGCTCCCACCAGCAACCCCCACACCCCATCGAAAAGCCTCCATGCTTCTGTGGGGTCCCGGAATTGTGATGAATTGTAACCGAGAGGTATGGGAGCAATAGGGTTATAAGGAGCCTGAGCAATCAA